CTTATAGTATAAGTGAGTAAATACACAGAGCCATTTGCTACTATGTGTATCCAGGATATTTAGACAGTGCGTTTACTCTTCCAAACACAAGGGATTTGACATGCAACAGAAATACGATTTGTATAAAGTAACATCTTGAATTCCATTCAGAAATAGAAAGTGGGCTGTAAAATTTCTTAGTTTCGGAAATTTTGTTTTTTTTAAGAGTCAGGAGTTGCATAGTGACTTTTTATTGAGTAATAGAATCACTTGTTAACAGGAATAGAATAAAAACATTTTCTAAATTTATATCACATAATAGAAACCATTGTCCCATTGTAGAGGCAATATGGACATATTTTTGCAAACATTCAGCAGACATTATTTGGTAGCCCTTTTGCATTTTAGGAAAAGATAATTACAGCTAGGAAATGACCTTAGATTTTATCTAATCCAGTGATTCTGGGGCTTGGTTAGTGTTAAAAATCTTTTTCCAGCGAATGCATAAAGAATCTGCAAATACAGAACTCATGGAGGCAGAGCTGCCATTATTGGAGGGGGGGGAGGGGGACGGGACATGGGACACGCCCGGTCCTCACCTTCTCCTACCCTGCACAGACCCTGGCTCCCTAGACCTGTGCAGAATACCGTTTGAAAGTGGTCTAGAAATCCCTTCATTGTTCAGAGGAAAACAAATGCTGATGTATTTCATTTTGGAGACTTGCTCGAGGACACACAACCAGTGAGCCCTAGACCTCTGACTAGATACATTACTGACCTCCATCAGTCAGTCCTTCAGGCGAAGCTACACGCTCCCCTCCGATCCCTTTGAAAAGATTGGATTCATTTTATCATTATTTCTAGTCTCTTTTGCAGAAACCCCACTTCTGTATTTGTATTTCTAATTATTAACTCCTTTATTTTTCTGGTCACACTTTCAGGTGTACAAAGTAAGTGCAAAGTCCACTAAGAGTTTTTACGGTCAGAGTCTTATGTAATTGAGAGAGCAGTGAGCTTCAGACAGCGGGGTGGTAGCGTGGAGCTCCGACCAGGCGCTGCGCCCGGGAGCTGCCCCCTCAGGCCTTTCCTCCTCGGCGCGCTCCCAGCATCAGTAGTGCCTGTGTGAATACCCGTGGTTTTGAAATGATCCCACTGACTCTTTCTCAAAAGAATCTGCTTTGAGCTCTTTTTTAGTGGCTGTAAGGAGAGTGCATGTTCACTGACTGGATTCTTCTCAGGATGGATGATGTGTTCAGCTTGAGGTGAGGCAGGGCGGTTTGTTAAGGAACATTTTCTGCTGGTTAGCGCTAACTAGCCTTCGGAGAAATCAAACCCAGAGACTTACTAGACTCTGTCCCAAATTCCTCCACACTTAAAGCTGGTATTCCTGCTAATATGGGATTCACTGGAAGAGTATAGGCTCCAGAATTTTTCAGGCTGGAAACTGTGGTCCCTGCTGTGAAAATGCCGCTTGTAATCCTGACCTACTTCCCCAGAGGAATCCTCACTACTGAGTGAGGACAGGGTTTGAAGTGGCGGCGGGGGATGTGTTGAGGCAGAAATGTTGGCCGGGTGTCTCCCGGATAGTCTGAGCAGCGTGCAGAATTCAGACTTGATAGACTGCTGTTTTACTGATACAGACCCACGGACTCTGGAGAGCCAAAAATACTGAATAAAAGGTGGTAGCAAGGAAATCTTACCCTCCTCTTTCCTGTTACCGTGCTTGTCTCCAATGTGTGCATTTAGAAAGACCAATCAACTGGACTTTTTGGTATATATGGGAGGGGTAGGATGATAGCAGCAGAGGGTTCTAGACATGAGTGTTCAAAATTAGGAGAACTAGCAGTTGAAGGAAACTCTTGTCCTCTACATCAGACCATTGACTCTGAGGTGCTCCCCTCTAGTGCAGTGTTTGGACTCTCTCCAAGGGCATGCAGCCTCGAAGAGAGGCTGTGGTTGCAGACATGGTCTTTATTTTTTTAGACATGGTTTTAGAGAACTTTGCTTACACCGTGGCACATGGCCTGAGGCTTGGTTCATTTTTTAAATTATTTTTTATTACCTTGATTTTGATGTGTCTGCTTTTCTGAAGCGCTTGACTTTGCTAAGCCTAACTAACAAAAGTGCTTTTACTGCTTGGACTTGGGGACTGAAAGGAGTGTAACTGTATACTTCATATTATTAGACAGAATTTTCTGACTTTGATCAAATAATGGTTTAATGTATTTCTAGTCTGGTTAACCAGATCTGATGTATCTTGATCATTTAAAGTAGACTTAAATTTTCTAATTAGGAAAAAGTCCTAAAAGCTAAATAGAGAATTTAGATATTAATATTCTAGAAAATGTGGTCTAATGGGCATTTACGATGTGATCCTTCAAGGAATCTGCCTTTCTTTCTCTAAGGGCATTTTGTGCTGCTGTAGGGATAATAGGAGCATTGGGGACTTACCAAACACATCTAACCTCATTTGAATAGTTAAGCTGCTTCTAACATTTTTTTTTTTTAGAAAGAATGGAAAACACCTGTGAAACTTTCTCACAAATGTTACTCTGAAAGCAAAATCATACTTAGAAAATGTGACGCAAAATAATTGTGAACCTTTTGAGCAAGTAATTTTGCATTTCACTTACCTGAAGGAAGCTGGGACTGTGGGAACTAGGTGGTGTTTTTAAAGGGCAAGGAAATGATTAGAGCAGCTCTTTGCAGGATTAAAGATCGATCGGGATGTTAACAGCAAGGTGCAACCTAAGAAGCCATATTATTAGCATGAGGAAAATGGAGACCCAGGAAGATTAGGAGTAATTTCGGTGGATTCGGTGTAGCATAGTAGATTTAAAAATCATGGTCTTTAAAATCAAACCTAAGTTTTGATAACAGTTACTAGCTTGGGCAAGTTATTTAACTTCTCTGACATTCCACTCCCACTTTGAGTTTAGGGGGCATTAACTCTGAATCCAGTACTTTCCATGTTACTGTAGGTATGTTGTAAAAGTTCATTTCCTTACCCTAATTCCTTACCAAAAAAAAAAAAAAGCCTTCTGGTGGAAGATAGGGAATGAGGCTAGAGGACAGTTAGACAAATAGATCAGTTCTTATGCCCCTACTCCTGCTGAGTACTCCTGCCAGATGCTGTGGACTCCTGCCAGATGCTGTGGAAAAATCCATAAACCTTTTGTGTGGTATCATTACATCTTTTGGAATATTATTCTACATAGGTGCTCTCTAAAAATGGCAGGACTTCTTGAAAAGTCTCTTTGGAAATCCCTAACTCAAGAGTGAGGTGAATTGCTACAGGAGCTAGTGAAGTGGCAGGAACCCTATGATTTCAGTTTCCCCCATCAATCTTGTCCTTTCTCTTCAAACAGGTGGTTCCATCAAGGTCCTAACCCCTATAATGGAGCACAGGACTGGCTTTACTCGGGCAGCTACTGGGACAGAAACTACTTCAATCTGCCTGACATTTATTAAAGTGCAGACAAGTCAGGGTGTTTGGCTAATCTACAAATAAGTCTTAAACCTATGTTTTTAAATTTTTTCCTTGGTTTCTACTCATCTTTTAAGAAAAAAAACCGCTCATGAGATAACTTGCATTTCACCCAACAAAAGTAGGGCATAAGGTGATATTGGTGATGAAAGGAAAAATGGGTAATTTTGCTATCCAAATAGACTTACTGATTTGAAATACTGTTTCATAGAGGTAAGAGAAACGGTGTGGAGAATATGCTTTTTATGGTTGTTATTGCCATATTTACTGAAGGTTTATACCCAACTGTACCTTTAGCTTTATGGAATTATATAGTAATCCCAAATCAAGTTACTTTGAATATTTTTATGCCGTCATGCTTGAATGTTTTAGATGTAACTTTGAAATGTTTAGAACTCTTCTATACAATGTTTATGTGCTCAAATGCAGAGAAGGTTATGTCATTTTGTAAAGACTACTTTAAAAAGATGGCTTTTCTTCATACTAATCCTCTCCAGTTTACCCCTTCCCACCTCCAAAAAGAAAAAGTACCTGAATATTCAGAACAGGTGTTCCTGATTTGAAAGCTCTTCTAAAGAATTAAACTGGAAAAGGTATTTCACTTATTTTAGTGCTCTAAATTTATTTTTACAATTTTCTGTAATCAAGGTCCTTAGAATTAAAAGGTGTTTGAATTGAAAATTTGTATAAAATCTAGCAATTCACAAAAATGCCCTAGAAATAGATTCTAATCACCATCATTACATAATGACAAACCTTTTTATAAATGCGTCAACTTTGTGGCAAATGCCACCAGAGACAGTAAGTTGCACTCATGTATTATAAGTACCAAACTATAAAAGGAGGTCTTGTGCATTTCAAGTTTGCAAGGTACCTGTGTACTTAAAATATGTATGGAGACCTCCTGTACAGTAGCTTTGCCCCTTTAATTGGGGTACATTAATCTTACGGTATTTATCCACCCAACCCCAGACTGAGATCTTGCTCTAAGGGGCTTTAGGTAGCTGCCAGTAAATTATTTTAATTGCCGTCTTGAAGTTAACAAGTGTTATAATGAAATAATCTACCTGATGCTAAATAAAGGCTTTAGAATGTTCCCAAAAAGTGTGGTTTTTGTTTTAAGATTTTGTGAGAGAGAACACAAGCAGGGGGTGCAGCAGGCAGAGGGAGAAGCAGGCTCCCCGCTGAGCAGGGAGCCTGATGTGGGACCCAATCCCAGGACCCTGGGATCATGACCTGAGCCGAAGGTAGATGCTTAACCAACGGAGCCACCCAGGTGCCCCAAAAGTGTGGTTTCTTAATCTGATCCTCAGTTACCGAGTGTCCTTACCAAGAAGTCCCTGTGCTGCCGTCCGCAGGGCCCCGGAGCCAGCCTGGCAGCTAGCACTTGCTGAGCAAGTGCTGAGCTGTCAACCCCAGTGTCTGTCCTATGGATCTCGGGGCCCTGAATCATATGGTTCCCCTTCACAGCTCCAGCGTCATCTTAGGGGCTGTCCCCAGCTCCTCCCCACCAGCATCATTTTGGCCTCCTTGCCATGTCGGAGTCCTGCTCTTTCCTGCCCTAGGCCCAGTTACAAAATAAGAGCACAGGGTTTTATGCTTGCATGAGGTTTATTGACCAAGTACGCTCGGTGGCGGACTCCACCTTGAACGTTGGCTCAAAGGGCATCGTTTCCAGCATCTGTTAGAAATGTAAGCAGTGAATTGTTTAATCACAAAACCGAACACGTAAAGTGAGTGGCAGATCAGAAATGGGAGGTCTACCCTCCCATTACTAAATTCTTATCTAATCATGTAGCTGTCTGTGCATTTGCACTGAAATATCCCAGCATTTCATGCTGAAAACAGCCATTCTGACAATTCCACTGAAAGTCTACAAAGGCAGAGAAGGGCACATAGAGCTAAGATTTGATAATGGAGTTATCTCCTTAAATACTGTCCATAGAGTACTTGAGCCTGCCTGTGAAGGAAATCTAGCTTTTGCCCATTGGATATTCAGTGTGAAATTCCCACACATTGAAGTAACTGAACTCGTTGGGGTGTGGGTTTGACCCTTGCATTGTACCTTCTTGTCTCCCTGCTTCCTCTAGTGACCTCCTCCTGCCTTCTAGGTCTGTCATTCTTCTGGCTTCCTGCTGAGCTGTCAACCCCAGTGTCTGTCCTATGGATCTAGGGGCCCTGAATCATATGGTTCCCCTTCACAGCTCCAGCGTCATCTTAGGGGCTGTCCCCAGCTCCTCCCCACCAGCATCATTTTGGCCTCTTTGCCATGTCGGAGTCCTGCTCTTTCCTGCCCTAGGCCCAGTCTGTACGCTCTCTGCAAGGCTGGTTCCTTCTTGGGACTCGGGTCAGCTGACATCCGGGCCTGACCACCCTAACAAAGGAGGCTCTATGTCAGCATTGTTGTCCTCACCATTCTTAACATGGTGTCCTGAACTCTCCAGTCCATTCGCCCACGGAGGGGGAAGTCTGGGCCTTGCTCTGCCCACAGCGGGGAGGTGGGATGAGCACGGGACAGGGCATTAGGTACTGGTGGGACGAAGAACTTAAAGATGATTTGTGATTAAAGGGTCTGATTCAGGTAATGCCAGTTGTTTTAGCTCCTTCAGGTGTTTCCAACCTGCCTGTGCTGTAAACCTTCACGCTCCAAGGGAACAAACCTGCTACAGTGGGGGGGTGCTCCACGGCATCTCTGACTTATCACCTCTCTCTCCAGTTGGCTGCAGTGCTCACGTCTGGCACCTGCTCCGACCCACCCCTTCACCTACCGATTAGATTAAAAGTTCCTACCTAATGTCTTTTTTCTTATAAAGCCATCCCTTTTTAGCATCTTCCACGGGGCTAGCTGAAGAACCAGGTATTCAAAGGTGATTGGGTGGATGGGCTCATGTCTTAGGCCCCAAGTCCTCAGTGTGAGTCATCCTGGTGCAGTGCATGTACTGTGCATTTCTTATTAATAATTGGGGGTAATGAACTTGGGAACCCCGACTCTGCACATCTCCATTCAACTTCTGTAAATACCTCTATCTTCAGGTCAACAAATCAAAGTACTAGTGTGTTAAGGCCCACATATTATGGTAGGAAAGTTTACCTACCATTTTTAGGTTTCTGCTCTGCGAACATGGGCAGTAGTCACGGTTATTTCGCCAGCAATACCATAACTTCCAAAGGGAGTACGTTTGTCACCCGATCCTGAACCTTTTTTGGCTACATCTTCTACTGGGAATGCCACAGAAAGAAAAACTGGGCTTTGTGGCCTGGGGACATCTTGTCCATTTGGAGGAGGACTACCATTCTGGGGGTTTGGGGTATGTTTCTGGAATTTCTGATCTGCAGGAACAGCAATGGGTACTTGGACTGCAGCGTATCTCTTCAAGGCATCTGACTGAGAAACAACAGCATGTCCAGGAAGAGGTTTCCAATCCTGAGCTTCCTGAACATTCGAGCCTACTAAAATAAAAGGTGGGGCACTGGTCTTCTTGCTGTCGTCCATCATCACGTAAGTTGGAGAAGTAACTTTTGGTGGCTGCTGCAGAAACTTTGGATCCTTAGGATTAGATAAATAGAGGGTTGCTTGGGGGAAAGGCCCAGGTGCAGGTGGCGGTGATGGGCGGCTTTGTTGATTCATATCAGTTAGACAATAAAGGGTCCACATGTTAGAGTATGGTGGTGGTTGTCCTGCTTCGCTTGCTGCTATGGCTATAAAAAAAAAAAAATTTGCAGGCATTAAAGGTTGGTCTCTGTATCAGGCGCTATGCACAGAAATGTCTTTGTAAGTTTTCTTTACATATAAACAAACAGCTGCAGTAGTAATGTGTGCCATAAAGCATGCTATAGAGAGGGCTAAATCGTGTTTGGTAATGTGAAAGAAGCGAGGCGCTCTACCGCTGGAAAGTGAGAACAGCGTCGTGCTAGCAGGTGGCAGGGGCGCTCGAGTTGTGCCTGAAGCAGCAATCTCATCCGAAGCCGCCGGTCCCGGGGCGGCCAGCTTGAGACGTGGCCACCGCAGCGCCCGCACACACGACGTGGAGGATCCACATTTGGGGCTTTACCAAAAGAATCCATTGACGTGTGTGTGAAGCCAGTGAAAAAGTGTTAATGCATCTGCAGAGTGACTTTTTCTTTACTAAAGAAGTCCGCATGGGGGCGTCATCTTTTGGTCACATTATCAGTTTCTTTGGCCCTTTACAGGCCCCACAATCTCACATTAATTGGACACCACACACAGAACATCACATAATCTAGGACTCAGAACCCCAGAGAGCACCGGCTGTAGGCAAGGCTTGAAATCATAGGTCCTAGGTGGCAGTAAAAGGCTGGTTGGTCCCAGAGGGGTTCCTTAAGGGCCGGCGGGGGGAAGCCTTCTAGGAGTGCCACCCGTCTATTTAACACCAAGGCATCTATGATGGCAAGTTTGACTTGACTAATGAAGACAGTACTGTCTTGGGGAACTAAGTCCCAGAAGATGGGATGGAGGCGAAACTCCTTCCCGACGGAGTGGCATGGGGCCCAAATTGTACTGAGTTCACCGTTTGAACGCTGGGCCTCGCATCCCTCGTGCAGCTTTTCTTCCCCAGAAAAGAACAGAACACTATGCACATGATTAAGCTGGTCAGTTTTCAGTAGCTTCAGATGCAGTCAATGGATCCTTCCGCAAGCCAGTGAAAAATACATACAAGCCTAGTCTTCCGTTTGAAATCTCCACGTGGTGCTTCAGAAAAAGGGCGAGGCACTGGGGAGCCGTGACTGGGGAGCCACTGCTGCTCCCGCCACAAGGCGCGTGCCCGTCCCGCACGCCAGCTCCCAGCGCTGCCCTCGGCCTTTTCAGTGGTGCGGACCCCGCCACACTGCCAGACAGAATTTGATCCCAGAACACCTGCTTTGGTAACACTTGACCGTTCCGGCTCTGGGAAGAGTCAGCGTGGAGAGGGTTTCTGCAAAAGGGAGCGGGGAGGTCGGCTCCATCTAGCCCTCAAGGGGAGGGGGCGAGAGGGGGGCAGGCCTAAGTCCAGAGTTGGAGGGAGGGAGAGATCAAGCCAGGTCTGTGTCACGGGCAAGCCCGGTGGACGTCCGGCAGCGCAGCCGGCGGCGGGGTTTTCGCCCGTAGGGGTTGCTGACGGGAGGCCAGTCGGCTTAGCTGCGGCCGCCTCTGCGCTCACCCGGGGGACAGAAGTGCGGCCGAGCCGTCCCCTCCGTCCAGCCCTGGGGCTGCCCTCACGGCTGCAGGAGCCCCCCCTCTACCCCCCGCCCCGGCAGGGAGCCAGGGCTCCCCGCACCCGCTTGCAGGGCCCTCTCCCACTGCAGGGCGAAAGCAGGGGCGACACACCACCATGTCTCTCTGGAGGGCGTTGTGTGGTTGGAGGTTGACACTCACAAGTGAGCCATTTCAAAGCAACACCCCATGGCCCACGTTCGCAACAGCAGATTCGGATCACAGGTTTGGGGCCTGACAGGAGGCTCTTCAGGTTTTTCACTCCGTGTGCTGTCTGAAACTGCTAGGTGACCCAACTGGGAGGCCAAGCTGTGGTGATGTCACTTTAAAATCACTCCTCTCATAAGAGTAAAATCTCAAGTACGACAAGGCCTTTACAGAGGTTTGCCATCTTACAAGCTATTGAAAATGGAGCCTTTGACCAACCTGGAGGGAGCCCACGTCCGTGGTTACCTGAAACACAGAGGTCACCTGAAAATGTAATTGGTAATTTTGTAAGTATCTGGTTTTCTTACCTGGCTCCATCAAACCTTGTCCGAGTGCTGCTTCCCCTTGTGGTTCGGGTTCTGGAACAGGAGGGGGGGAACCACCAGCTGCCCTTCCCGGCACAGCCGAGAGCCCTGCGGTGGTAGCTTCCCCAGAGAGCACGAGTTTGGCCTCCATCTCCTGGGCTGCAGAGTTTCCCTGGGACTCCTGCGCAGGGTTGCCAGGGACTAGGGCAGTGAACTCCGTTTCAACGTGCAGAGGTTTTTCAGAGCCTACTGCTTTGGTGGAGCCCTGTGCATCCGGGAACTGTGCAGACTGACCTTTCAAAGAGGGGTCAGGGAGCAGAATGGCTGCTTCTGCTTCCATATATACTGAGGAATAATTTGCATCCTCCTCCAGCGGTTTTACCGAACCTACAGGTTTCTCGGACATGCCTGTGGCGAGTGCTACAGGAATGGGACTAAGTGGTGGCTTGTTTGCTTTAAGAGAAGCAACGTGATCAGTAAAAGGGATAACTATGTGTTCTGGTATTTGCTCGACATAAGTAACTCCTTCAGTCACAGGCTCATTGTTATAGATAGACGATACGCGAATGAATGAGGTGACCTCAATATCAGCCTGCAAAGGGACCTCGGGAGCTTGATCGTAAGCAGGAGGGTCTTGTTCATCCTGCAAGGGGAAGGAGGAAGCCGCTGCTGGTACAGCTTCATCGTCTTTAAGTTTAGAACCCAAATCTACACGGACAGCTGTTTGGCTCAGAACCTGCAGGACTGCCCCCTCTGCAGAATACGCAGGAGTAGCCACCCGGGCATCTTCAGCAGCCTCTGAGCTCAGCACCTCGTCGGAAAACAGAGGCATACTCGTGGCCACATCCACCATTAACACGTCAGACCGATCAGAATGAACAGATGCAACTTTACCTAACATTTGAGCAGCGAACTGAGCTGGGTCCGCTGGGACATAAGCAAACTCGGGTGACACGGCTGCTGGAGGTGGTGATGAGGGTGGGGTCATCCCCTTAGGGGTAGACGGTTTCAAACTGGAACCACGAGCTGCTTCGGATGTCTCCTCGGGTTCCTGGAGCACCTCCAAGTGAACTGATGGGAACTGAGTGGTTTTGTTCATAAACAGTGGTCCAGCGATATTGTCCTCCTCTGTGTCTGTAGATTTCTCCATCCGTGTAGGTTCTTGGGAAACTGTAGATGTTCCTACCTGTTCTTTCATACATTCTGCTTTCTTCTCTTGTGTCGTTCCTTCTGACCACCTCTCTACTAAAAAAGCCAGATGGGTTAATAAGCGGATATCCCCCCCAATTTTAAAGCAGTAATAGGTTGAACTTTCAGATGTCAATACACAGAGAAGCACAGAAGAGTTTTGCCTAATTTCAGCATCTGTGATTTAGAATGGGTACTGAAACTTCCCTGTCCTTACCCACTCAGAAGACACCTCAGCTCATCTCAGAAATCAGGGACTACGTAGCACCGTGACAAAACGGAATCAGATACCACCTTCAGCTGGTCTGCGTCGGGGAAAGACCGTAACTCTGCCTAGAACTAAGGAAGCTGGAATCCTCCATGGAAAAAGCTCCTGATCTAAACTTCTACACAAAACCCAAGGGTTCTGGGAAAGGGGGTTCCACCTGAGCAGTAAGTGGTCTGATCTTCAGCTGATGGAATAGCTTCTTAATGAAACAAATGCTCTCATGTTAATAAAGGCAGTGCTCAACTTAAGACAACTGGTATATAAAATTTAACAATGAGTGGGAAAACGGGGCCTATAGAATATTTTGACATTAGGAAACATCCTATAGTCTGACCTAAAAATGGTAGCACTTGCTGGCGAGGTATGATAACGCAGCAGCCAAAGTTGAACTGACCCAGACAAGAGGGGCAGGAAGAGACCTCCAGATCCGTCAGCAGATGACCTAGAGGAGCTCCTAGGGTGGAGAAGATGCTGTGAAACCCTCTTCTCTGTGCCCCAACCCCCTCCCTCATCAGCTGCTTTCACAGCTGCTTGCTCAACTGCACATTTTCTCTTGGGGAAGCATGTCCTGCGTATCACAATGACATCGGCAGGAAAAGCAGAAAGTGGGTGTGTTTCAGCTTGGTTCTTACTCCTCGCACACTGTCTTTATTCCTCAGCTCTGACCTTCCTGGGGTTCACTGCATCACCAGGGCTTCACAAGCCTCTTCGTGTCAGTTGGGCCCAAACCCACCGCCCCCGACAGCACCCCGCTTCCGAAATCCCCACTCAGCTTCTAGTCTCCCACCAGCTCTTCCCTGCTAAGCCTCACGCTGTCCTCCACACACAGCTCGGGAGTTGGCCAGCAACCCAAAGGAAATGCTTGGCAGACTTTGGGGGCTCCTTCTCTGCAAACACCCCCTCTCTCATGCTTTGTTGCCCAAATCCCAGCCATAGTAGTAGCCCCAAACCCTCCATTTTCTCTTCCCAGACACGCTTCCACTCTATGCTGGGCCTCGCTTGCCTTGTGCAAGAAGTTGAGAAATGCTGCTAGGGTGAAGAGGGGGCTCACTTTCCGTGAACTCCTTCTCCCAAGGATCCAGGCACTGGGCTTCGGTTTACAGAATTGCTCCAGCTTTTACGATGGTCGATGAGAGGAGGCCGAGTGTGGTAGCAGCCCCCCCATCATAGCTGACAGTGAAAGATCTCTTCCTGCACTGATTTTCCCTGGCACAGCGTCTGGCAATGGGGAGGAACTGAAAGATCTGATAAGTGAAATAGTGAATTGGACTTTATGGACAGGTAGGATTTGAAAGGTGCGTAGCGACTCCTGGAGAGGGAAGTAGCAGAAGCCAGAAACCAGGCGATGACAAGCTGTCTGGCTGGTGCAGAGAGGGCGGCAAAGGGAGGAGAGATTCAGATCGCAGAAAGCTTAGTTTGCACGGCCTGGTCTTGGAAAGGGATCAAAATTTATGACAGAGTTGTCAGCATTACTTGCTCTGTTTGCATTAAAATGCTTATCTCCAAATGGCAAAATTTACTTTTGATATAGGTTAAAAATATTTAGCCCTTCTAGTTTAAAAGTCTCTTTGGTTAATTATTCAATCTTTTGGGGCTATTTATCAAAGATTCGCCCACTTCTAAAGAAGGAAGCCGAATGCTAGAGTCAGCTCTGGCTCTGACCTACATTGCTCTTCTCTGCTGGCTCTCGGGTGGCCTCGAGGAGAGCCCCCGCTCCTAGTGCTTGCGCTCTAGGCGTTGGTCCCTGACGTGGTCGTAGTCACTTAAGGATTTCCACTTTGTCGAAAATGAGCCTGTTATTTCCTGGGAGATGCCCCTCCTAATTTAATTTGGTCCTCTTTAGCATCGGAGGCCTAGCTGCCAATTTTTATTTTGTCCCCAGCTTGGGCAGTATGTGCTATAGCGCTCTGCTGGCAGGGTGAGCGACGTCACTTTGTCCCAGCCCGATTCCCTGCTAGTCAGCACTCTGGGACCATCAGAACACATCTGGACCAACTACCGGCCACGTGTGGGCCCTGGCACACCAGAAATCTCATATGTGGTCCACCTGAGAAAGACTCTCCATGATTTCTAATCTACCTCTTCACATTCAATTCTTTTATTCAACACTTACCGCAGGTCTGATTGTGACAATTACAGCACATGTGAACATAGCGTAGCATGTGTTACGCTAAATGCAGAGCCATGCTAACCATGCAGCCGCTCTGAGAGGCCCCCGGGAAAGCAAAGCACAAGCCTTTTGGTCAGGGCTTAGAGCATTCCAATCACAGATTCTCCCCACCTTCCTAATAACCACCTTCGGTCTCAGCTAGCACTTGGTGTGCACTCCCCACGCCCCGGGACCACAGTCCCACGCCAGGACGGACTTCCTATTTCCCTTCCCTTTGCAGCAGGAAATGAGCTTATATCCTATGGCATATACAAAATAAAAACTTGATTCTGGTACCTTTGGCTCTTAAGTTAAAAGTCAGCTCTGGAAATTCCAAGAAAATCTTCTCTCAACAAAAACAGGCTCCTGGAAAACTCCGAAGTGTTTCTTACTAGGAACTTTGGAAACTCACTACTGAGTAATGACTTCCTATTCGCATTTCCCCTAAAGCAAATGAACGCTCCAATGGGTAGAGATGGACGGAACTAACAGGAACAATGAGAGGCTATCTGAAATCACTATACACTAGTTTAATATTCTTCAGAAATATCCCTGTGACATTGAAGAGTTTGGATTTTATGAACAATAGGGCGCTATCAATGTTCCCGGAGAGCAAAGAGCTATACTTACCTTCTTAGGTCCAAGATGTTCTTCCTGCTCATACTGACTCTTGTGTCCTAGTGTCCCTGACCCCATTGTCTTCACTTTCCTGGTCTGCCATATCTGCTTCCTCTCTTAATCCTAACCCTGTATTTCTGTCCTAGGCTGCCAATCTGACCCCAACTCTTGACAATACCATTGACTGGTTCCATGATTTGTCTTCTTTAGTATGGACTATTCCCCAACTGATTAATCTTACCACAATGTAAAACATAAATGACCCAAGGCCCCCTCCCAATATCACAACCAGATAATCATTTGAACCTTTTTTAAACTTAATGAAATTCTACCTTGGTACAAATTACCACCCTGCCTAGGCAAATATGAGACTTCAAGAAATAAAAAGGATCATTTTGGCACAATACCCATCCCTGTTTAGGGAATCAGTATAGCCTTACTTGACAAAATGCCCAGGAAAGTGCAGAGTAGCACCAGAGCTTCACACAATTTAGTATAGATTGTCCTGAAATTGATACATTTCTCATTTACTTAATAAGAGAGAATAGCCACAAGTATGTGTAACCAACTGTGAAAATAATGCATAAAAATAGAATCTGGCATAAGAATTAAACTAAAAACATTATGAATATTTAATATGAATAACTCAAGACATTTAATGATATGCATAACTGCTGTGGTGCATAGAAATTGAAATTGGGCCCAATGATCAGCAGCAGTGTATGATTATAATTACAATTTATGGCCAAGCCAACAATGTCCAGGATCATTAAGAAAAGTTAGCAGTTTGGGGCACCTGGGTGGCTCAGTCGTTAAGCGTCTGCCTTCAGCTCAGGTCATGATCCCGGGGTCCTGGGATCGAGCCCCACGTTGGGCTCCCTGCTCAGCAGGAACCTGTTTCTCCCTCTCCTCCCAGCTTGTGCTCTTTCTCGCTATCTCTGTCACTATCTGTCTCTCTCAAATAAATAAAATCTTTAAAAAAAAAAAGTTAACAGGTTAACTCAGTTGGGCTAGGCCTTCTTGATTTTTCCAAAGAGTTAGCTATGTCCTGCCTTTGTTGGATATGGGACAGGACTGATACTAGAAACTAGACTCAGTGAAGCTGAGGGGGATGGAAGGGGATGGTGTTGAGATCTCATTTGCCACTCTGCATGGGGAAACCACTGTCCTACCCTCACTGGTGGTGAAAAAGTGAGAACTAGCACAATCTAGCACAATCTGGCTTTGGGTTCTACACAAGAAGGTGACCAGAGAGGAAGAAGTGAAAGAGTAGGAGATACTATGGGGAAAGGGAGCTAAAATTCTTCTTTACTCTTTCAGTTCAAGAATTTCAAGTTTTTCCAAAGGAATCATAGAATGTTATTTACTATGGGAAGAACATGAGTTATGCTGCTAGGAAGATCTAAGTTTCCATCCTAACCCTACCAATTAATATTTGGAAGCTTACAAGTTTTTTAATCATGCCCAAGCATCACATTTCTCTTGAGTAAAATTGTAATGATGTCACCTACTTATAAAGTTGCTTTAATTGACAAAATATTTTTAAGTACCTAGGACAAAATCTCTCATTTTACTGCATTTCACTTCACAAATACTGTATTTTTTACAAATTGAAGGTTTGTGGCAGCCCTTTGTCAGGCACAAATGACTGGCTGTTCCCCATCTGTCTCCCTCCCTTAGGGCCTCCCTTACTCCCAGAGACACAACAATATTGAAATTAGGCCAATCGATAACCCTATAATGGCCTCTAAATGTTCAAGTGAAAGGAAGAGCCATGTGTCTCGCACATTAAATCAAAAGCTAGAAATGATTAAGCTTAATGAGGAAGGCATTTGAAAACTGAGACAGGCCGAAAGCTAGGCCTCTTCTGCCAACCAGTTAGACAAGTCGTGAATGCAAAGGAAAAGTTCTTAAAGGAAAGCTTAAAGGAAGCTGCAGCCAGTGATTCAGAAGCCCTGAGATCATTAACAAAGGTGACTACACTAAACAATAGATTTTCAACGTAGATGAAACATTCTCATATTAGAAGATGGTATCTAGGACTTGGATAGCTAGAGAGGAGCAGTCAATGCCTGGCTTCAAAGCTTCAAAGGACAGGCTGACTGTCTTGTTAGGGGCTACTGCAGCTGGTGACTTTAACTAGAAGCCAAAGCTCCTTTGCCATTCTGACAATCCTAGGGCCCTGAAGAATTATGCTATATCTACTCTGCCTGTGCTCTAGTAATGGAACAACAAGGCTTAGAAGACATCATGTCTGTTTACACTACAGTTTACTGAGTAGTTTAAGCCCACTGTTGAGACCTGCTGCTCAGAAAAAAAGAGTCCTTTCAAAATATTACTGCTCATTGACAATACACCTGGTCACCCCAAGAGCTCTGATAGAGAGGTATGATGAGCTGAATGTGGTTTCATGCCCGCTAATATGTCGGTACTGCAGTCCATGAATCAAGGAATTTCAACTTTCAATTAAGAAATATGTTTCATAAGGTTATCATTGTAAAAGATAATGATTCCTCGGATGGATCTGGGTGAAGTCAGATGGAGACCTTCTGGAAAGGATTCACCACTCTTAAGATGCCATTGAAAACATTTGTGATTCATGGGATGAGGTCAAAATATCAACATTAACAGGCATCTTGAAGAAGTTGATTCCAAAGTCATGGATGACTTGGAGGGGTTCCAGACTTCAGTGGAGGAAGTCCCTGCAGATGTGGTGGAAACAGCAAGAGAACTAGAATTGGGAGCGGAGCCTGAGGATGGGACTGCACTGCTGCAAGCTCATGATCAAACCTGAACGGATGAGGAGTTGCTTCTTATGGATGAGCAAGGAAAGTCCTTTCTTGAGATGGAATCTACAATCCTGGTGGAGATGCTGGGATGATTGTTGAAATGACAACAAAGAATGTACAGTATTCTATAAACTTAGTTGATCAAGCAGCAGCAGGGTTGAGATTGACTCTAATTTTGAAAGAAGTTTTGTGTGTAAATGCTGTCAAACAACATTCATGCTACAGAGAAATCGTTCCTGAAAGGAAGCATCATTTGGTGCAACAAACTTCACTGATGTCTTATTTTAAGAAATTGCCACAGACACCCCAACCTTCAGCAACCACCACCCTGATCAGTGAGCAGCCACCAACATCGAGGCATCTCTCTGGAAGCTCAGATGGTAGTTAGCATTTTTTAGCAATAAAGTATTTTTTAAAATTAAGATACATACACCTTTTTTTTAGACATAATATTGCGCACTTAGTAGACTACAGTATAGTATAAACATAACTTTTATGTGCACTGGGAAACCAAAAAACCATTTAACTGGCTTTATTGCAATATTCGCTTTATTGTGGTGGTCTGGACCTGAACCAACAGTCTCTCCAAGGTATGCCTGTACTCGATAATTCCATTCCTCTTTCCCTTCCTTTCCTACCTGTGACATAGTAAGTGGTAGAACTTAAGAGACAACTCTTCTGCCTTAAAAGATCACCTGAGTTTCTAAAATCCCCTCAATTAATGATTCAGTGCTATTAATGAAGAAACTCTCCTGAGAAGACTGAAAAATGGGGGCACTTTCTCTGATTTATATGATAGCGCAATCTGGTTCATCCAATTGCAGAATTAAACCAGGAAGTGTTTCGCAGCATGAGCTGCTTTGGAAATAGGCATAATGTGGGTCAAAAGCCACAGGGGAGGCCTGGACAGAGCCAGGGCCATCCCAAAATTCCTAGGCTCTGGACAACGAGGGAAGCGATGAGAGAACAGAAGAAAAGTTTGCTCTCGTGTCTGGTTCTTTTCCTCCTCCCTCTTCCATCATCTGAGTTTACATGAATTTTTAAAGGCACTGGGGAGATGGGTAAACACTACTGGCCCTATAAAGAAGCCTACCAAAAATGGGCTTCATTCCAAGAAAAATCCAGGATGAAGTGTTCAAATAAAACAAATGATATGTGCAGGGATGTACGGTGGACATAAAACAAATTGTCTTTCGTGCTCACATCTGATAGCCGGGAGATGAGTGGGGACCAGGGCACCAGGGATGTGAGTGAGCCTCTGCCCCATATTACCAAGTGCTAATACCTGATGCTGCCTTTAGGTTGACCTCGCCTCATGCTGAAGAGACCGAAAGACCAGAATAAGGGTCAGCAGACATAGTCTTCAAAGAATGGTCCATGTTCCCATATTGCAAATCACGGAAAGCCTGGGAGAGCCACAATCCCTGGGACCAACAGAGCATGTAGGGCATTAAAAGTGCCACCATTCCATACCTAACACAGGGATCCATGTAAGGGAAGTGTATTTAGAGGAAGCAAAAGATGCCACCTGTTCTATCCACATTTTTATTGTAGAGAACTGAACCACCATGCAGCCAAATGTGCTTGGCACTCCCACAGGAATAGCAGTTGAGGAATTAAACCAGTTAGAAGATAGGAGGATGTCATTCAGCGGAGGAAAAGCCCTACCAAATGGAAACCTTATGGTGTATATCCCTACCTAGTCCCTCTTTAGCCCAGAGTGATGCTTTCCTGGATGTAGATGGGACTCATGCAGTCTCTCTGATAGGACCTAAGTTAATGGACACTGTTTGCCAATAAGAAACCAGTTGATATGACAATAAAAGGCAGATAAATGAGCCAAACTGGTATTAGACAGTAACAAAGAACTCTGTTTTCTGGTCATCTGGTCATACTTTCATGTTACCTTCCCATCTCCCCAGTAAACTAGAACAAGCAATGTTCATTTCTACTCTACTACCAAAGAGCAGTCTGTATCTACAACCATATGGCGAGCTCACTTTTAGGATAATCTGCACGTTATGTAAATTGCCTTGGTATCCGTAGTTACTGGAGGAGAAAAGTATCTCCCTCTTCTTACCTCCATCGGAAGTATAGCTGTTCCATTAGTTCTGTTAATTAAACTAATCCACATTAGTTTAGTCCACTTGCTAAGTTGAATGGTGGGTAAGTTCCTGAGTAAACAAATTAGCCTCAAAAGCTACCAGTTAGTTACATCCCACTATAATGATTCACCAACTTTACCACCATTCTCAAACATAGGAAGCCTGCTCACTCCCAGGCCTCTCAAACATAGCTCCTGGTGTAGAGTACAAGCCCATAATTACCTTGACTTCTTGGGAAACCAGCCTAGTAGGGAAGGGGAGAATGGTCAGTGTTCTAGCACTTGTGTGTATATCCTGCTGGTGGCAAGCAAATCCCAGACCTAAGTCCCGTGGTAAGCTGAGAATGCCATCAGGACCCTGCAGGGAAGCAGTCAGACTAGAGAGTAAAATATTCCTGAACCACAGCGCTTCACTCTCCCTTCAAATGTGGACTCTTGCTGATTTTAGTCTTGTTTTCTGTTTTGGGTATGTCTTTCACTGCGTATCCAAATCCTCAATTTTTACATTTTCCTACATTCTACTCCTGACTTCTCCCCAGCTTGACTAGTATTGGCATCACCAAACTGGCAGAGTTTAAACGTGGCTCAACCTCACTGATCCTACCTTTTCTTTCTCTACAGTCATTCCAAAATATTGGCCAGCCAACGCAGCAAAAATTATTTCCTTATTTCCCTCACTGACCACGAGTCTCCGTTTTCTCCACAGAATTCTGCCAAAAGCTTCTCCTTACCATTCTTTTAGATGTGGATGCCTGTCCTTGGGATGACCAATTTAATTGATCTTCCCATCATGTAAATTGTGCCTTTCTCTTTCTCCCTGTCTCTTCTGTCAATGCAATTTCATGCTGTCATGTTCACATAGGCGTTTACACATATACACATAAAACACAACTTCTTTTCTAAGCAGAGGGATGGCCCTAGGCCACAGAGATGGGCTGGAGAAGACCACTTTCTAGGAAAAACTTCTCTTCACTATCTAGAGACTCTTGGAACAGACAAGACGGTCAGTAACCCCTAATTGATCCCCTGCCCTCCGACTGGACTGCAGTTAACCTATCACAGGGAGGAAAAAAGAAAAAAGGATGTTTCTTTATTTAATAATATAAAAAAATCTTCCAAGAAGAATGTTTATATAACTTTCTTAGGTAGTGTAACTCATTATAATTTGAGTCTTCATTACTACAACATCCAATTTTCTTCAAAGTTCAGTGTACTTCCTTAAAGATGGGGACATTGGAAAGGGTTTGAGTCCTAGCTTATCCACACTGTTCGAGGTCTCATTGTACCAAATGGTTTGCAGGAGATGAGTTTTTCCTATTTTTTGTTTTTTAAAGATTTAAAATCCTCCAAACTATCTCCAGATTTAAAAAAAAAATGGATCAAATAATTAAATAATCACACTGATGGCTTATTTTTAACAAACATCAGTGAGATAAAACAAAATATTTATGGGCATCATTCTTAAGCTTAAATGTATGGTAACAATGATGCACTAATTTATACCTAATATTATTTAACTGTTACCACTTGTACTTACCTTTCATCTGATGAAATTGTTTAACAAGATCTTTTATATCCAGAGAAGTATTCCCTAAAGGAATAAATACAGGAAATTAGATACATAAAATGCCCAATTTAAAATGCCTTCCTTTTCAAAGCAACAAATATATAATCTAAAGGAATAACAAACCTTCTCTAAACACAATAAGTTCTTTAAAATAAAATGCTGCGAACTGGGTGATGTTTGGCGGGTTGGTTTTGAGAACGGCCCTGCTGACTCCTTCAAGTAGAGTCTTGAGGCCATAAGGTACGACAAGTCTGGGCTTTGAAGAAATCATTTTGGCAGGATGTCTGTAATCTCAACTATAATGAAGAAAAACAAAGTCTTATAGTATATGTTTTTTATTAAAATGTTCATCAGTTAACTATAGTTTCTAAGAATAAACCTATGTCCTATTGAAATTATTAGCTTGAGTTTAATCTCTAGGCATTTATTCTAGCTAAAATGGGGTAATTCCTCACACACACACACACACACACACAACCAATAGCTTATTATGTGCAGATGAGCAATATGGTACTATTAAAGAAACCCATGGGAAAAGCCCTGCCAAGAACTCTAGGATGATATTAAAAACAAAGAAGGAAAAATCAAACAACCAAACTTGTTCCTGTGAAATTCAGTATTTTACACAGTACAATTTCAAGAAAGATAAATCAAGCTCATGTATCTGTGTCTAAACAAGATCCTTCCAAACTACATGGGCATTGGCTTTTCTGTGCCTTCATCAAATAGAAATGTAGAATTGGGTTTTTCTACAAGAAAATGTCTTTTTCCTCGTATTTCTAAATCTATCCCTGGACACATTGATCAGCTTTCAGTATACAATTTTTAGCTTTAAATTTAATTTTGCTTTAACATTAATCAGAATAGGATTAAGTTACTTGTGGTATCATACCACCCACCACCATATGCTTTTCTTTTCTCATATCCTCCCTTAACCTCTGCCCTTGTTTTCCTCTCTCTCCCCCTCCTCCTGCCTTTCTGGATTTTAAGTGCTACCAAGGGTATTGCATAGTCTAACCTACAATGCTCAAGAGTTGCAGAGGTTGCCATTCTAAACTGTGTGTGTGTGTGTTGTTTCATTGTAGAAAATGATTTAAGAAGGTTTACAAATACATGTAAAGAACAAAACTAAGTATTTAAGGAAATGAGTTCAGTGGTAAGGGCAAAATTATGCTAGGAAAATATGATGAAGCTACAGCTAAGGTTGGTATCCCACTACAAGCCATAGGCCCCACACTTTGATAAAGATGGGGTCAAATCAGCACCTGAGCTACCAACCAGACATCACAAAATAGGAAACAGTTGGTTAAATGATTCATGTTTCCTGAGGTTTAAAAAAAAAATCAGTTGTCTGGGAGAATCACAAGTACTCTGAACACTGAGACCCAGGAGAAATTTCTCCTAGGAGTCCTCATAAAGGGGAGAATAGTGTGAGATAATCAATCATGTCAACAACATCCCTACAGTAAAGAGAGTAATGGATTTCATGGGGCTAAGTTGCACAGTTTAGTTATAGCAATTATACAAGAAGCCAACCTCTAATAAAAAGTAATGTGTCATATAGCAAAATGCTGAATATTTAAAAGCGCATTTCATCTTCCCAAAGATCAGGGAAAAAATGAATCTCTATTGGCCAAAGCAAACCCTTCGAGGATATAATTAAGTGTATTGAATCCTTTAATGAAAACCTGCTTAGAGTGTAAGTCAATGGGACCTTTACTAAATTTAACCATCTTTAAAAAACTACTGTAGCAGGCAAGCCCACATGCTAAACGTCAAGGGACATAGGCAGTAATTGTATGTATGATCCATATATATACTTACACTATATTTGTGTGTGTGTATATACGTATATCATTTTTTCAAGTACACACTTTGCACTCCAGTGAGAGCAGATAGTCGTGTTCGGGTAAGTGGCTTACTAATAGCCATGATGGAGCTACCAAAACACCCTTTCTGCAGGCAGTTAGCAGTTGATGCGACCAACGGTGGCGAGAATGGCCGTGCAGAGATCCTATTGGTTCTCAGCGCAGGTGGTAGCTGCATCCCCACCCACACCAGGCTCTGGGCCTGTGCGGGGCCTTTCTGTGCCCCGGGACCTGGGATGCCGAGCGTCCTACAACACAGTCCCATGCAGAGAACAGTCCTGAGCAAGTTGAGAAATCCTGGGACACCAAGCATGACTACATCAACGGGTACTCTCACACACCTAGGTTGAAGATTGCTTAAAAGTGACTGCGTAATTCTTCCCACACCTCTCCTTTAAAGATTCTCAAAAACAAGTTTTACGACCCCGAACCCCCGCGCTGAACCGTGAACTTCCATTTTACCCACTCCCCCAGGGCTAACGCCTGAGGAGGACAACAGTGCTGGAGGCTGAGGACGCGCCAGTGGGGGCTTGTTGGAAACGTCCAACGCTACACAACCATTCAGTCCCTCAAGACCTACGCTGAGATCTGTGCTTGGTCTGCCGTTAGATTTGTTTGGTGGCAAGGGCAGCAAAATGGGGGAGAGTGGGCGTCCCGGTTCCGCGTCCACTAGTTCAGGAGGAGCAGGTGGCAGACCCTCCTCCCGGGATCCGGGAGCTCCGCCACACTCGCCGGTGTGGGCCTGCCCTTCCCCACCGGCCTCCCACTGCAGAGGCCCTCCGCAGTCCCCAACACTGGAAGAAGCGTCCACCACCGCGCGAGGCGCCCCGAGGGCCTAACTGCCTCCGGCGCCGCAGGGTGGGGGGCCTTTTCTCCAGACTCGCCCCACCTTCTCCTTTCCGGCTACGCTCTAAAGCGCTTCCTCGTTGCCCCCTTGCCGGCGGCTCCTATAGGAGCCCGCGCTCCCAGCGGGGCCTTTATACCCCTGCGGACGTCAGACCGTGCGTCACAAAGCCCCTCCCTCCCGCTGAGGGCCCCGGCGGCCACGGAAAGAGGCGGAGCCTCGGCGCCCCCAGCCAATGAGGAGCAGAAGGGGACAAAGGCTGGAACTCCGCTGGGCGGGAGCGCCTCGCGTTTTCTGACAGAATACGAAAGAAAGGGCGTAGGGAAACTGGCGTTTTCAAACGGCCAGGAGTCAGTCAAGGCGACGGCCTCTCCGCTTTTGGTCGCTCAATATAAAATAAGAGCTGTTGTAGAAGGAAAGAGAAATAGATTTATGGCAGTTCTCGCCGTCACCACCGCGCCTCTTCACACTACTCCCTCAGCCCAACATGATGTTACTTTTCAGTCACCTTTTCGGAGAATTAATGTCACGATATACATAACAAACACTAGTATAAAGACGAGCAGTTTCATGCAACACAGTACTTTCTGAGAAAAATCCCCTGTGGAAAGAGAATTTGGCACCAATCCTGAAGCTTCCAGTTCCCGTTAATTCGGGTCTTGCACTACCTGGGGCACGACCCACCCTCCCCAAACCACACGGCAGGAGCCGGCTGCCGTTTCGGACCCAAGTGAGGCAAGGCGCACTCCTCTCCAATACCCGCTCTCTCACCAGTCAGGCTCACGGGTTTGTACTGGGCGTTCACCACCACCATAATCATGAGGCCCAAATTCCAAACAGGCTTCACTGTCATCCATTTTCATATATTTAAAAAGCAGGAACCGCTGGAAATCAACCATCAAATAACATCTTCGGGGCAGCTATCTGATAAAAACATTTTTTTTTTTTTTAACTCAAACAGTTAAGGCTTCCAGAGCTCTTAAAAATAAGAGGCAATGTTAAGGCTCTGGTCTACATCTATGATGCACAGAGCACTTTCTATGGATATTAATTCATCCATATAATAATTACTGAATTCCCCTTACGTGGCAGGCTCCCTCTTCTCACGAAAATTATATTTTAAAAGGAGAAATGCTAAGTTTACACTTTGAGTGTGAAGACAGGCCTGCAGATGGTACATTTTTTTGTCCTTCATCCCTACCCCCAGCCCCGCTTTGGTAGATACAAGTGAAATGAAGCTGTCATGATTTCTGATGGTTTGGTTCATAATACATTTAACCATCAAAGATAGAAACTGACCTACTAAAAACCCCAAGTACACACCCCCTTTATGGTGTCTTCTGGGAATCAGAGACATTTATGCTTATGTAGCCAAACCTTAACAGGCCATCTTGGACACACAGGTGTTAGAGACTGTGCAGAATATCTGAGACTCACGTCAAGCCCTTACTCTTTCCACATTTCTTCAGTAACTGTTTTGTCCAAGTCCCTCTGAAATGCAAATTGTTACAGTGAAAACATTTAACCAAACATTTTCAAACGACCATTTGCTGCTTTGGTTTCTAGAACTCCTAATGATTTCATGTGGTTTTACAATCTTCTTGTCCTTCCCCTTTCAGTCACTAGGGACCTAAAGGCAAAATGCAAATCTACTTTGTTTTCCATTGCTCCCTGCTCCCCACACTTAATTTACAGAAGTTCAAGGTTCTCGGTGGGACCTCTGCCTAATTCAAATCTCATTTAGTCCATTTTCACCTGACTACATCCTTCTTTAAAACTCAGCTCACAGGGCACCTAGGTGGTTCAAATGGTTAAGCATCTGCCTTCAGCTCAAGTCATGATCTCCAGTTCCTGGGACTGAGTCTGTGGGGCTCCCAGCTCAGCAGGGAGTCTGCTTCTTCCTCTCCCTCTGCCTCTCCCCCTGCTTGTGTGCTCTCTTTCAAATGAAGAAATAAAATCTTTTAAAAAAATAAAAAAATAAAACTCAGCTCAGGAATATCCTAGTTTAGAAAGCCAATCGGTTAGAAGCATTTCCTCAGTGGCCCCATGATAATATACTCTATGAGCACAGCCTTGCTACAGAATTCTGTTTGTGTTGGTCTCATCTCTCAGCTTTACAAAATACTTAACAAAAGATGATGACCTAGGGCAGCGTTTCTCTAATTTAGACCACCTGAATTAGAATCATTTTTAGGAGCTTGTTAAAAATGCCTTCCTAAGGTCCATCAAAATCCTAAAGGAGAACACAGGCAGCAACCTCTTTGACCTCAGCCGCAGGAACTTCTTCCTAGAAACATCACCAAAGGCAAGGGAAGCAAGGGCAAAAATGAACTATTGGGACTTCATCAAGATAAAAGGCTTTTGCACAGCAAAAGAAACAGACAACAAAACCAAAAGACAACCGACAGAATGGGAGAAGATATTTGCAAATCACATATCAGATAAAGGGCTAGTATCCAAAATCTATAAAGAACTTATCAAACTCAACACCCAAAGAACAAAGAATCCAATCAAGAAATGGGAAGACATGAACAGATATTTTTCCAAAGAAGACATCCAAACGGCCAAAAGACACATGAAAAAGTGCTCAACATCGCTCGGCAGCAGGGAAATCCAAATCAAAACCTCAGTGAGATACCACCTCACACCAGTCAGAATGGCTAAAATTAACAAGTCAGGAAACGACAGATGTTGGCGGGGATGCGGAGAAAGGGGAACCCTCCTACACTGTTGGTGGGAATGCAAACTGCTGCAGCCACTCTGGAAAACAGTATGGAGGTTCCTCAAAAAGTTGAAAATAGAGCTACCCTACGATCCAGCAATTGCACTACTGGGTATTTACCCCAAAGATACAAATGTAGGGATCCGAAGGGGTACGTGCACCCCGATGTTTATAGCAGCAATGTCCACAATAGCCAAACTGTGGAAAGAGCCAAGATGTCCATCGACAGATGAATGGATAAAGAAGAGGTGGTATATATATACAATGGAATATTATGCAGCCATCAAAAGGAATGAGATCTTGCCATTTGCAACGACGTGGATGGAACTGGAGGGTGTTATGCTGAACGAAATAAGTCAATCAGAGAAAGGCATGTATCATACGACCTCACTGATATGAGGAATTCTTAATCTCAGGAAACAAGGTGAGGGTTGCTGGAGTGGGGGGTGGGGTGGGAGGGATGGGGTGGCTGGGTGATAGACACTGGGGAGGGTATGTGCTATGGTGAGCGCTGTGAATTGTACAAGACTGTTGAATCACAGATCTGTACCTCTGAAACAAATAATGCAATATATGTTAAGAAAAAAAAAAGAAGATGGCAGGAGCAGAAGAATGAAGGGGGGGAAATCGGAGGGGGAGACGAACCATGAGAGACGATGGACTCTGAAAAACAAACTGAGGGTTCTAGAGGGGAGGGGGGTGGGAGGATGGGTTAGCCTGGTGATGGGTATTAAAGAGGGCACGTTCTGCATGGAGCACTGGGTGTTATGCACAAACAATGAATCATGGAACACTACATCAAAAACTAATGATGTAATGTATGGGGATTAACATAACAATAATTAAAAAAAAAAAAAAGCCTTCCTAAGCCCTATCTAGTACCTCCTGAATCAAATTCTCAAAAGAGTGCTGATTTGTTAAATTAGAATTTGTGAACCACTGGCCTGTGATTGGAGAAAGTGTAACCTAGAGCTCACTCAGGTTACAATACTCCCAGGCAACTAAGAGCTATAACTCAGCCCCCTTACTAGTTTTCACAAGAAAGCCAAGTACAATGCACTGGGTGATTTACACTTTATAGAAGAAGGAGCACATCTTCTATGGACGGACTTTCCATTCTCCTTCCCCCCACCCCCCAGCTGTCCTTTTCTCTTTTCTGGATTTCCTCTTCCTAGCTTCTAAGTCTCCTCCCTCTACTATGTGTCTTCTTAGGATGATTTGAGCTTAACCATTTTTTTTTCTACAAAATATACCACCAACAGGATTCTAAAAAATTTAAGAAATACCAAACAGTACATCATGACTATGAATGTGTATGTTCATAGGTGCAGAGCCATATATATTTGTATCCTTGCCACTACAATTGGCTTAAGGAAGCAGTCAACTAGGAAAGTTACACAGCAAAGAAATACACATGTGTGTGTGTATTTTAGAAATCAGCTATGCGCGGTCCTTTTAGTTGGCAGAAGTAAAAAAGTGGAAATTCTATAAATAATTGACTTGTTCAATATGCAACAATAAATTCCTACTTTTCCGTGACATCTGAAATACTTCTTCACTTGGTCAAATACTTAGCTATCATGTGTTAAAATAAAAAAGACACCTAACCTAATAAAAAAAATCTTAAATATTTTAACCACAATGTTACATATATTACATTAGACCATGCCTCCAAAGTGTGTCAAATCATAAATATGTTCAGAGTACATAAATATACATTAGATATTTCTTTCCTCAAGGCAAAATCTAATACAAAAATACATTTGACACTCATAAATTAGAAGATCCATTTGAGAGCCTCCAAAATAGGAATGGGGAAGGAGTACGTGATGCCAACAAAGCACACATAGATGCAACTTGTTCTGGTTGTATGATTATTTTCTTCATCCGCGAGGGGTAAAGAGCAATTTACACCAAGCTAAGTTTCCAGGCAGATCACAGTTCACAGGTTGGATAAGTCATGGCACGCAGGCCAGAGAAATGTCATGAATTACTCAACTCAAAAATGTACTCAGATTTCAGTCAATCTAATGGTACCATATACCTGTACTGTGGTTTTGTTATTTTAGAGACTTTAGAATCATCATCTACCCCATCTCCATACTCTACCACTCTGTTAACACACATAAACCACAGGACGAACCAGGGGCTATCCTGCACCAAATGTAGGAGACAGTTTATAATCAAACCTACTCTCTATTAAAGTGGTATGGTATAGTTGTCTATGCAGATAAGCGAACTGGACACAAACTTCTTTGAAACCCTGAAATCTCTCTGGAGAGATGCAAATAAATTTTTAAATCAATTAGTATAGGAACATCTTTTCATTTTAAAATACAGGGCTTTATGTAATCTTTGAATACTGAATTATAGTTCAAACAATATTTGAACTGAAAATTCAAGTACGTATGAACTAAAGCAAGAACTCCGCGATTCAGAAGGCGCCGCAATCGTAACTGGGAAGTTTGGCTCATGTATGTTCTAGCCAAAGAGGACAAAATGGCAAGAGCCATATTTTACAGATTCATAATGTTCTTCCCTCAAGCCTTGATGAAATCAGGTATCCAATATTTTTAAACACCATTTTTTCTCTTCAGAAAGCATCTACTTGGCTTCTGGATCTACTCATTCACTGAATGTAGGATAGCAATCTTTTCTCTCTGGCTAGTGTCAGAAATCCTATGCAGGATGCACACCAGAAAGAAAGTCAATGTGAATAAACACTTGGGAAATGAGGAATCATGAATATAGTTTAGTCAAAGTCAGTGAGGAATAATTATTTCTTTCAAAGAAATGATCATTCCCTCAAAACCAGATCAAGTAGATTAAAGCTGTCAACATTCTAGCTGCTCCTCTGTTTTATTTTGAAAAGAAATATTAAAGTATTAACATCACATGAGATCATGCTTCAGCTAAAAGGATATGTACATGACACCCCGAGATGATACTCTAACTCAATATAAATTTTAAAAAGTCTAACCTTAAGCCTGAGCCAAGTTAGTCACACAATTATGGCAGAAATTCTTAAGTGGCTGAGGTATTTAGACTCTTCCAAACCACAAGTGTGCAGTACTGGACAAAGAGGTAAATTAAATGACAATAAAAATTAGCAATGAAGAATTAATAAAAATTAACTTTGAACTCCTTTTATAGAATAACCTGAGCTAAGGAGAAAATGATTAAACCCTGGCAACAGATAGCCCAGCAAAGCCTTCACCAGCAAATATTCTGAGGCAAAAAAACCCTATGTTCATTCAAGAATAACCTTTTCAAGTAATTTGTTAAAAGACTTCCAAAAGCTGGTAATTAGACAATTTATCACAAAGAAAAGGAAACTCCTAAAATGTAGGTATTATTTATCTAGCCTATAGATTAGGCTTTCTAATAAACTAGCAAAATAGTTCTATTTTTGGTTGTAAAACTATCGATTTGCTCCCGCTTCGTTGGCTTTCAAAGGAAGTAAAGTGTTCATTACTTATTTAAAACATTTTGTAGATAATCTGAAGATAAGCATTTTTTGATGACACAACTTCAGCTGAAGAGCATTTGTGTTTTAATAAGGAAAACAAAATTCTGGGTTAACATTTTTTTAACAAGAATATTCTGTCTGGGATCAGGAGATGTGTTCTAGTCATTGCTCCACTGCTAACAGGAATAATCAATTGGGACAAGTCAATTAGCCTTTTTGTGCCTGAGTTTCATTGTCTAGACAATGGGGATAAGAATATCTGTGCTGTGCTATGCTATTCACAAGTTAGAGGATAAAGGAAAACACTAGAAAGCACTTTTTTTTTCAAAACACAATATAAACGCTATGTCATAATACTATTGATAATTTTACAGGTATTTCCTAGCGTTACCCAGTCAGATGTGTGCTTAAGGTAGGCGTTCCTAGAAGATCACAGGTTGAATATTTAGTTTGATTTTATTTTAAAAATAATAAATCACAAAACTAAAATGTTTGAACAAGGTCACTTAGCCCTCTCCCCAGGTGGCTAGTTATAATTACTAGGATCATCATCATTACTTCTTAGCTATATGTTTAAAAGAGGAGATCTTGAATATGTCAGCCTAAGTGGGAAAATGTGTCCCTGGCACAGGTGGTTTTCAGAAGAAAAGCCGATCTTCGGAAGAGCTGTGTCCTCTGCTTTTATTTTTAAAGTGCAGAACCTGGTGGGGAGGGACGGAGCAGAAACCCCGTGTCGTCACTGAGGAACCAGTTCCCTCAGAGAGGCCAGAGCAGCATGGATGCGGACATGCAATCTGTTTTCAAAGTCGTAGCCAGAGAAATCCTCCTGCAAGACCAAAGAAAGAGGGTTATGGACTCTCTTAGCTAAGCTTTCTGAAATACTGCAGGATAAACCACATGGCTTTGTGCTTCCCAAAATAAAATTCCTAACACTCCTACCAACGGCTTCCCATCCACTCGATTTTCTTACTCCCTTAAACCTCAAACTTTGGGTTCATGTTAAACGTTCGGGGGAATGTCATTATTGCCGTCTTTGGAAAATTTTCATGTTATTCCTGAAACGGCAGTCTTAAATTGTGCTCAATCTAAGTTGCTGTTCGAAATTCTTCACTCAAGATTGTAGTTATGAAATCGAGGATTATTTTCCCAAACAAGAAGTGTGTTTATAAAGTGGGATAGGCAATTTCATGAGTTTCTTAGGATATTGGTAAATTTCACTTAAAGATCAAGCGATCATGGGGCACCTGGGTGGCTCAGTTGGTTGGGTGTCCGACTCTTGGTTTTGGCTCAGGTCATGATCTCAGGGTTGTGAGATCAAGCCCTGTGTCGAGCTCCACACTCAGCAGGGAGTCTGCTCAAAATTCTCTCTCCCTCTTCTCCCTCTGCCCCTCCCTCCCGCTCTCTCTGGTGCGCTCTCTTTCTCCAGAATAAATAAATCTTAAAAGAAAAAAAATCAAGTGATCACTGAATCAATCAGTTATTACTTTTCCTTTCCAGAAACATCCATCAGAACAATCATCTCACAAAACTTCTTGAATTCAGACTCACGAGGACACAACAGAGGGTAAGAAGCACCCCAGAAAGAGGTGGTAGGTACAGTATTTTTACCTTTGCTTGAAGAAGTAGAGTTCTGCCTCTTGCTACAGTCTATGAATGTAAGAAAAACATATTATCTTTTAATACCTACATTTATACATACTCAAGCAGAAAATGCTTATTATAAGAGGATAGGTAAATGAAAACAATTCTCAGTAGACAAAGAGGTGAGTCAGCTGCTCATTCAAGTTTAATGACTCCATTTTTCTTTAATGATGCTTACAAGTTCGCATCAAGGCACTGCTAAATAATTGTGCATAATCCTCACAATTCTGTAAGAGAGAACAACTTAGAAGAGTTACGACAGCTTAAGATCTTACTGAACAACCTAAAATTGATGACAATTCAGAAGTTTACTTGACGTCAGTAAGTTAGATCTCCTTTTGAAGGCATTACTGGTTGAGGGCATCAACTTCATCTTTCAAAACACAGACCAGCCTTGTTATATATTAAGTATATATTTTAAGGCTGCATTAAGTGTAAAAATGTTCTTAAAGAATACAGTGTTAGGATTTTCTACCAAAATTCACAAAACCTGCCTTTTCTATTTTGGTAAAATTAGAATTTCAAATGAAAAGACTTACCAATTAAAAGCCTATCTTTGGTGAGATAGGCTACCTGTTTAAGGGTTAGGCTAGAATCCTATTTCTGTTGATTTAGCTCAACTTCTAGAAAGTCCACATATTTGAAAGTGGAAGTGAACTTACTAAAAATTAGAATTTTATAAAGCTAATATTTTATAATTGAGCTTCTGAAAGTATCAAGCAAGTCATTTTTTTTTAAAACAACACTGTCCCAGTGTACTTAAATACACAATAGTAACCGTCAACTTAAATTTATATGATATTCTAAAATTTTTGAAGCAATCATCACATCATCCTCATTTATTCTCACCATAATCTCTACTAACTTGGCACGGCAGGTATTTTTTTTATCCTGTTTTATATTATTAGGAGGAAGGTATGCGGTTAACCAGTATCCTATACTGAGTTAAACAGAGAACTGGAACCATAATGCAATTCCATGTTCTTCTGAATAAGCCATACTACACCATGTCATACCATCCTAAAAAAGGCAGTGATTTCCCCCTCAAGTGAGTTTTGGTCCAAAAAGTTACATTTATACTTCTAATTCCAGAGAAGAAGTTACTTCCTTCAACACAGTAAGACAGGATTAGCAGCTTCCTGGACTCATCCTACATGAAATCAAGGAAAACAAAACAAACAAACAAACAAAAAACCCCCACTATGTTCAATCAATTGACTTGAAGTGGACGATGCTTTGTGCCTGCTCACTTGTTTTTTTGTTTTTTTTGTTTTTTGCCAAGGAACATCATTTAAGGAACTATATAAGATCTTACCTCTGGTTTGTCTAATAGAAGGCAGCCAAGTTCATAGCAGGCATATGGCTGAATATATAAGTTATTCTGACGACACAACTCATCTTTAACAGCTCGCTGGAAGAACTAAAAGTAATACAAATGTTATCAGAATTAACTCATTTCCCTACCTAAGGTTCATAACATCTTCAGGGGGCAGAAAGGGGGGACTTATTTCTGTATTCTAGATCAGATTTTCTCTTTTTTTTCTTTGAATCTTTATTTCTTCCTGTCCCTCCTCATCCCTATCTTAGAAGTTCCCTACGTGCTTGCCTCCAGGCTATGCTACCATCAGTCAGCCCAACTTGTGCTACTTATTTTTCCAGTTGATACACTAGCCTCTACTGATTGTATTGCCAAAAACATCTTTATCTGCATCTCAAAGTCTGAACATATCATTTTAGTATTTAAAACAGAAAGCCCACAAGCCATCACTTGACATGCGTCTTGCTGATATCTAAGCGTATGATCTAAAACAGGCTATTTAGAGCTGTATAATAACTATTATGACCCCACACTGAGAAATTTGAAATTTGTAATACAAGTGCATCAACACCCTAGGATTTAAAAGTCAAAGGCCTCTACTACTGTACATAAACTCTTTCAAAGAGTAATCAAATAACACTAAGGTATACTTGAAAACATCCAACCACACAAAAACCTCAGAAAAATCCAACTATATTGAAAATAACGAAAGGTTCTTTTCCATATAAGATGTACCCCGAAGAGCCTAAGCTAACACCTTTCTCGACCTCACCTCCAGTGCTGCATCAGTAATCTGCCGCTGCAGAGACAAGAAAGGTGAACACACACCTGATCATTTTTGTATTTCTCTAACTATGAAGCTTCATTCTTTTCCTTTAAAACTATCTGCATCCTCATTTCCTTCTCTGAGACTGTCATCTTTGATAAGTGGCTAGTGCCAGAAAAGAAGCCAGTATGTAAAGAAATATTCTAAGAATCTGAAGTTACATTAAAAACTAGTATTAACCATCATCAGCTTCTGGCATCTGAGATGACCTGAATCAGTATGGTGGATAAAACTCACACTGTCGTGGGAGGTTCAGTTTTGTTGAATGCATTTCTCATTGTTCTTATTTCTAAGCACACATACAGGTTTTCGTTTGTTTTCCTTAGCCACAACAGCAGCATTAAACAGTTTACCTGAACAGCATCTTCTGAATTTCCTAGACATTTGTGTATGGCACCAAGAAGCAAATACTTTAATCCAACGACAGATGAATCATCCACTGCGTGGCAAGCTTAAAGAGAAGTGAAAACAGCAGAAAGAACATACATTCCCTTAATTTCTTAAGTATCATCAAGAGTTAAGTATTTCAGGGCGCCTGGGTGGCTCAGTTGGTTGAGCGACTGCCTTCGGCTCAGGTCATGATCCTGGAGTCCCTGGATCGAGTCCCGCATCGGGCTCCCTGCTCAGTGGGGAGTCTGCTTCTCCCTCTGACCCTCCCCCCTCTCATGCTCACTCTATCTCATTCTCTCTCTCTCTCTCAAATAAATAAATAAATAAATCTTTAAAAAAAAAAGAGTTAAGTATTTCATTATTTAGTGACTTAGTCACAGTTCATGATCCTGCCCCCCGATACTCAGAAGGTTCCTTTTCCTTAACCAGTAGTGAATATCCTTATTCAAAGAAAGGCAAAGATATCAAACGTCATAGCAACTAAAAGACTTGAGATTGCATCTTATTGTTACTGCATACTGTCTGGTTCCAACTATATGACATTCTGGAAAAGGCAAAACTATGGCGGCAATACAAAAGATCAGTGGTCGTCAGATGTCTGGAGGGGTGAGGAACAGATGGAGGACAGACGATTTTTAGGTGAAACTACCCGGTATGATACTACCTGTAAGAGTGGATACATGTCGTTACACATGTGTCAAATCACACAGAATGTACGAAACAAAGAGTGACCCTACGAGAAAACTAAACCTAATGATGTGTTAGTGTTGCTCACTGGCTGTAACCGATGTATCGATCGGGTGGGGGATGCTGACGGGGAGGCTGTATGGACGGGGTGGTGAGGGGCATGGCAGGTGGAAACTCTGTATTTTCTGCTCAGTTTTGCTCTGAACCTAAAACTACTCTAAAAATTTCTTTTAAAAACGCCACATTAATGTCATAAGCCATAGAGTGGGCACCTCCAAATGTTTACTGATGCACTGCACTGGTCACTGAGGGGGGATCAGATGTAATCCCTCCACTTCAAGAAGCTCGCCCTCTCCTGTGCAGGATGCGCACACATATAGGAGGATGTTACTGAAGTTTTCCAAGGACGTGAGAAAGGTGGAGATTGGAAACACAGTGGAGCTAATAGGAGAGGAAAGGAAGTAATTGTTTCTGTGGACCAACAAAGATACTGAGATTTGGTAAGATTTTATAGACACATACATATATATATACATATGCACAATCACTTGTGTGTGTGTGTATATATGCATATATATTTATACACACATAAAATGTTCAAAGTTCCAGAACAAGTAATTGAAAGAGTTAGGCACTGTAGCAACGAGGTAACTGTGAACAACAGAGTCTGAACTTACAGAAGCAGGAGTTGTCTCAAAAAGCTAGGCTGGGAATACCTCCTTATAAAAAGACCTCAGGGGGCACCTGGATGGTGCAGTTGGTTAAGCACCCAACTCTTGGTTTCAGCTCAGGTCATGATCTCAGGCTCGTGGGATGGAGCCCTGTGTCAGGCTCTGCACTCAGCACAGAATCCACTTAAGATTCTCTTCTCCCTCTGCCCCAACCCCCTCTAAAATAAATAAATCTTTAAAAAAAGATTTTAAGGCAAGAGTATCAAGGAAAGGGGAACACAGTTCATGTGCTCATTCATTCAATATTTACTGAAAATCTACTATGTGCTAGACAGTTCTAGGTGCTGGGAATACAGCAGTGACAAAATAAAAAAAAATTTCTGCCCTTAAAAAACCAACATTTTGTAGAAAAGCTAGATGATACAGAAGAAAAATTGGTAAAATACGTATGTTAAAAAAGTGTTAGTGCTAAGGTAAAAAAATAAAGTCAGGAAGGGGGATGGAGGTATGCATGTATGTCAGAAAGGTACAATTTAAGCCTCAATGTAAAGGTGATATTGAGTAAAGACCTTAAGGAAATGAGTCAAGGAGCCATGTGCATATTGAGAAGAACATTTGCAGGTGGAAAGAAGAGAAAGTGCAAAGGCACCGTGGTCAGCATGTGCCTGGTGTGTTCAAGAACAGTAAGGAGTGTGGCTAGAGCCTGGTGAGCAAGGGGGGAGGGCAGTGAGAGGCAATGGGATGGGGAAAGGGGGGTAGCTGGTGGACAGATCACAGAACACTGCAGGCCACTGAATAGACTTGGACATTTACTTTAAATAAGATGAAGCCACAGAGGGTTCTGAGTCGCAAAATGACATGTGACTTTAATAGGATCACTCTGGGTGCTGTGCTGAGGATATACAGAAACATCCTTACAACGCAGAGGAAGAATGCAGTGCATAGGGGAGGGTGGGTGGGGGGAAGGGCTATGAGTGAAACCACAAGGATGTAAAAATCCAACCACACGTGTTGATGAAGGGAGCTGCAAATGAGGACTCGGAGAAGGTGAATGCACAAAGCTGGGTGGGCATTTAATTAATCACCCACTACCAATTTTTTCTGGAACTACACTATTTCTCTATAAAGATCTTCTCAGTACTCTATACAGCAGAGCAGACTGGGATCATTACTGCTTAACACTGGGGAATGACAAAAACTAATTAATCGATCTCAAAACTGCACTAATATTTAACAAAGATATTAAAGAATTATACCATGTTTACTCAAGAGCCTCCCTTTCCCCATGACCACATCTTTGCTATTTATTTTGATACCTGGAAAGTGGTTCTGAGAATATTTAGTCACATTAAGTGATAATCGTTCTTGTGCCTGCTGATTATAGCCTATTTTATATTTGCATTTGTGTCTGAATTATCTCTACAGGATCTTGCATTTGCACATTACAAAGAATACTTAAAATTCTGTATTGTTCCTTTGAATTAGACATTGGTAGATATTCTAGACTTGCATCAACAACTAGGAATGGGTTTAAAATTATGCATATCCTTTTGAAATGGACATAGCAGAACTTGTGCATCCAAGAAAATTTTGTTTTCTTTCAAGCAATCCCCCTTAGGAGGGTTACAGCCTCTAATTACAGGGCCTCTGCACACAACTTCTTTTGGACTTGTATTGCTTTGATCTCTAGAATATCAACATTGACAAAAGTTTTTTACTTTGGGGGGGGGGCTTTTTTTTTTTTTGAAATAAGCAAAAGGTGCCTGCAAGGAAGTCTGATCATAAAAGTATGTGATACAATGGATAATTGTATATTTGATCAAAAAGTATGATTGTACAGAAATCTGACAAATTTCCTTCAATGACTAACAAACTAGTTTTGAGTAAGTCCAAATATCAATATTAAACCTCTTTTGAAAAATGGCAGCATGTGTGTGAGTAAGAATACATTTCTTTTCTATAAAACCATCTTTCTGGATGTATGTGTTTTTATTTTGACGTAACAGTCTCATGGTGCAATCGTACTTCTAGCTACATGACCTAAATCTCGTCATGCTCCTAGAAGATGAAGCTGTAGGAGAGCATAAAGCTCTGCTACTCGATGTGCTCTCCTCAGACCAGGAGCAGGAACACCTGTTTCGATGGGAGCTGGGCATGTCACCTAACTCTTCTGAGCTTTAGTCTCATTTATAAAATGGCTATGACAATATTGTCCGCCTTTCCTATGTATGTAGAAAACAGTGCAGAGCAAACTAAACAATTTGCCAGGTTAGAGAGCATCAAATGTCTGCCACTAAGCCTTTAAAAAATGCTCTAATATTTCTTTAATAACCAATAAAGCTTTATTTCACTTGAAGATTTAGTTTACTCTTCCTGTGAACTTTTCCTACAGCTTTAATAAAAATGACTTTATGAAGACTACATTAGCATAACCTATGGTCCTATGATTTTCTTTTTTTTTTAAGAAGATTTTGAGAGAGAGCGAGCGAGCATGAGCGGGGCGAGGGGCAGAGGGAGAGGAACAAACAGACTCCCCGGTGAGCAGGGAACCTGACGTGAAGCTCAATCCCAGGACCTAGAGATCATGACCTGAGCTGAAGGCAGATGCTTAACCAACTTGAGCCACCCAGGCGCCCCAGTCCTATGTTTTTTCTTTCTTTCTTTTTTTCTTAATACCTGAGTCAAAAAATCTAGGCTTCTAGTTACATTCCTAGGTATTTACTCCAGAGAAATGAGCATGGGATGTCTGCAGAAAAGACAAGTATACTTAGGTGTGTAGCAGCTTTACTCAGGATAGCTCAAAAACCAGAAACAAATCAAATGTCCACTAAAAGGAGAAAGAATAAACACACTGTGGTACAGATGTAGCCACACGACGGAGTGCCACTCAGCGAGTGAAAGGCACGGACCACGGATCCAGGCTACAACACAGATCACTCCCACAGAGCCTATTCCGGACAAAGGAAGCCAAGCAATAAAAAGTACACGCGGTCTGAACTTACATGAAGTTCAAGGACAGGCAAAATTAATCTGTGGAGAGAGAAATCAGAACAGTGGTTGCCTTTGGCGGGGGGGGGGGGGGGGGCGGGGGGAGGGGGCGCTGACCAAGAAGGTGCTCAAGGGAAATGAAATTACAAGGGTGGTGGAAATGTTCCAGATCTTCACTGTGTTGGTGGATGCCAGCATGTATATATTTGCCAAAACTCAACGAACCACACACTTAGTATCTGTGCATCTTAATACATGTGAATCAAACCTGTATGAAACAAAGGGCTTTTGTTGGGGAAAAAAATGTATGCTTTCAGCTACCCCCAGGGCTACAGACTCAAGGACGCTTAGAGTCCGCGTGCCTCAGCACACGCAGCTAACAGTGCAAACATGTCCGTACGTTCCCGTGCTGCCTGCACCTATCACCTGAGCAACAGCCTGTTCTTCATCACTACACCATCTCTCCAAGAACAACAGATCTGTATTCTCTGAATCAGATAACATTAATGAGAAACTGAAGAAACCCGGTGTATGGTTTTGTTTTTACCTTGACTCATCCTCTGCAGGTTGGGGAAGGAACAGTTGGGAAGGGCTTTCCACAGGTACAACACCTCGATGGAGGCCAGCACACACAGTGCTCTGGTTGGAGCTTGTTTCCGAAACCTCTCTGCCTGCAGGTGGTCAGAATGATCAGCTAAGTTTGTGCCCACAAATTCAAATAAAAATATATTCTTTGGAGATAGTCAAAAATGCACGGTTTGTGTTTGACACAAACAACCCCCTCCAGCAAAGCTACAAATGAGAACGCTCGAAAAAAATGTTTGCTTTCTAACTTTTAATGTATCAGTAGATATGCCTTTCACTCATTCTTCAACTCAATCTACCATCAGGATCCAGGGTGCATTCAGAGACCGTGGGGATCAAACTAGATTAACTCCAGTTTAAATCAAAGGAATTTAAGAAATAATGAATGGGTTTACATGGAAAATGTAATACTAGATGCCTTTTAGTTATGGTTTTACTGACTTTTTAATTTTCTCTTTAGTCCTAGTGGTCTCAATGGCATTCCACATTACAATCTAGTTTATATTCAAACTAACTCCTTAAATGTTCATTCATTAAAAACAAACTAAGATCATGGAAAATTCAGGATATGACAAGTTGTCATATAATCCATAGTAATTCAGCTAACTTTTATTCTTAGAAGTGTAGAATAAATTAGGGACTTTGTCCCTACAGTCCTGGGCCCTTTCTACTGGTAAATCTGATGCATACTCCTCTTGTTTATTAGGTCAAAATGTGATGTGGTCACTAGATTGAGAAGCAACAATCTAGATCTCTTGTCTAGATTCTGCCCATTTCTATTCTTCTGAAATCACCTCATGATTTAGGTGATTTAGCAGAGCTTTATGCTCTCCTACTTAGTTTACTCTTCCTGTCATTTGAAGATGCTGTCCCTCTCTAGATAGGCTCATTAGCTCCGCATGGTCTGTAATGTGTCCACCCACTCAAACAAATAACCACTGCTTTAATTATGTGCAGCAACACAAGCACTTCCCACTCAAAGGAGAAGTGGGACCATGGAGTATATCTTCTCCCCCGAGGCAAAGCGCATTCTGCATGGCAAGTCAGTCACCAGCTTTGATTAGGATTTCCTCAAACCGGTCTGAGGTGGCGTCGGTTACAAATGCCCATCATAAACACCACACCGGATCAAGGGCTCCAACATACCTTTTTCACGGAGAACTGTTCAATCTGATTGTTTTTCCTTTTGAAGAGTTTCTGAACCTCTTTGAAGACTATCTGTGCCCCATCCACGTCACCGGTGGCTCCCTGACAAACTGTAAGAAACCATTGTTGCACTCCTTAAGTATCAGGGGGAAAATACCACCGAAAGATACCCAGGTTGACGGTACTTGGAAAATGTTACCAAAGAAAAAATGGGAGCACATATTTTAAAGACTGTTACACTATATCATCCCCGTTGACTGTCACGCCACTGATTCAACTGTTTTCCAGCTAACTGGGCTCCCAGAGCTTTGTGGGGACATACAGGGAAAACCACGGTCCTAGTCCTCTTGTTGGGCACTAGTCTCGGATGTGACAAAATTCCCAGCTACTGTCACAGTGTGCCGTCTAGCTGGAGCCCACATGCTCAGCAAGTGGAGTAAAAGGGAGGAGCCAAGAAGATCATGAATCTTCCTGATGGAAGGGTACCCCTGTGTCTGGAAAGAAAGTCATGAAATTTGTCTTACATGTGTTCATTGGTCAGCTACCACCTACAAGCCACCAGCAAGAATGTCAAGAAGAAACACATGCTTGACCCCTAGAGAGGTGTAAATTTCAGCTGGAGAAATAAGACATACACATAGTCCCACAGCTACAATGTATAAGGTGATAAGAGCCTCAAGGGTTGGAAAACCAAAGTGCTTTGGGAAAAGCTCAGGAAGAGAAGGGATCATTTCTCTTTGGAGTGATCAGGAAAACTCTGAGTAGCTAGGAGTCAGGCTGAGCCCTGGAGGAGAAGATTTTGAAAGTCTGTACACAATCTTCATCCCATCCCAATCCCCAGGCAAAGACTTAAGCATATATCCTTCACTTAATCTCTGAAGGTGAAACTTTCCCAACTACTCTCTGTCATTCTCTTCTCAACTCCAATGGCACTGAATCCATTTATATCAATTTTTTCTTAGATGTGGTCTTTGGCACATGTTGTTTCTCAATCCCCAGCTGGGAGGACCTAGTTCCTTCTCCTTTATTTGAGCACTCCTAAAACTAGCTGGTCCTCTACTCACAGTTTGGGGCTTGGCCAAGCAGAGCACGGGGCCATCCCATGTGAGAGGATGGACAGCTGTTGACAGGGCCAAAGCAGCAAAAGCACCAAGACTCACAGAAGGCTGCAGGCGTCAAGGTGATGGGAGAGGCAGAAGATTTTCTACTGGAAGCATGAGGGATTAGGCTGAATGTTCAAGGGAAACACAACCACATTCCCAGTTAGGGGAGCAGCCCTGGTCCAGAGGTAGGGGTCTGAATCCATCCAAAAAGACCTCATCTCTCACAGCATTTCAAAACCAGAAGGAAATGCAATGACTGTTTTGTAGACCAACACTATCAGGCTATAGATCAGAGGATGTAAAGTTCCAAGATAGTTAAAAGACGTGCCTAAGGTCACAGAGTAAGCCAGTGAAAAAGAGTAATGTCTGTTGCAGCTAAGCCTGAGATCCTCCTCAGATCACTCATAACATTCTTAGAGTCACAGAATTTAAACAAGAGATGGATGGCGGTCATGGCTGCCTAACGAGGTACCTGTACGTAATGCCACTCAACTGAATGCTTAAACGTGGGTACAATGGTAGATTTTACATTACGTATATTTTACTACAACTGAACAGTACCAGAAACGAAGCCTCTGGTGGCAGTGATTCTGGTCCCTAAGTGCGCTTCCTCTCTAGGTCTGCCTGTCGACAAGCATCTGTCCTTCAGGGCCAACTCCAATGGCAGCTTGCAGTACAGAAGTGATCCATGCCCTTCCCGGGAGCTCCTGACACACCTTACCATCCACACAGGATGCCCTCGAGAAGGCAGAGACAAGGCTGTCGTGCTTTACCAGCCCCTACAGCCTGTGGTAATCCTGGGATTTCCAGTATTTGGAGGATAAATGCTCCCGTACACAGCCACACTGTACATTTATTTCTTTGTGTTCTATGCTCCACAGAGATTAAAAAAAGAAACCGCTGCCCACAACCGACTGTGTGAGTACGTAACACGTTAACAGTTGATGGCTGGGTTGTCGTGAAGACCTCCGCTTTTCAGTTCACCCACTCCTCGGCGTGCTGGGCACACGGAGGCCACTCCGCAGATAGCTGCCCCTGTCATCTGAGAGGCTGTGAGCTCCACGCAACAACTCTTAAGGTGTGAGACACGGTATCCTAACCCATATACAGAAAATAATCCCATTTGAACATCAGCGACAGAGACATACAAAAACAGATGCCCTGCGGGGACTGCTGTGAAGAGTGTGGGTGTCAACGGTTTCATACTCAGTCCTAATGAACTGCACTTTTTGAACATCCAGGGCATGCATTCTTGCCACTGTTAATTCTCTTATTTTAAATAGATCAGTTAAGGGACTAGAATGACAGGAAATGTTTCATTAATTCCATTCATTAATTCTATTAAGGAATTGAAATTCATTAATTTAATTAAATCCAAATAGAGAAATAAGGAGATACTTAAAATTTAAAATCATGTTTGGATTAGTCTTGAACTTTAAGTAAAGTTATATGGCTGGATAAGGAGAGGTCAGCCTTAGAGGCAAAAAACCTACAGCCGCTGGGTTTCTCCGGTTCCCACCTCTGCAACAGTGCTTTAGGTCCCGCAGGGCACAGACAACCCTTGTGTCCACCAGGTGGCAGCACATCTTTATCGCCTGATGGGAGGGCCAAAAAGGCAATGCCGGCTCATTCAGCTCAGCAAGGACAGATGTTCCTGCTAAAAATGATGGGCAGTGTTCAAATACCTCATGCTCTGCAAAATCACACTGTAAACAAGGTTGGTAGGTAAAACAGGTTTGGAGCAGACTACTCAAAATCTATGCAACTTTGTAACCAGGGCACTAACAATCCAAACAGAAATACTAGCACAATTTAAAAGATGTTAAATTCCTTCAAAATTGTTTATAAATTCTTAAAGACTACAAACCATGCTGTAGAAAGTAAGGGAAAAAAGTAAGGGTGGACTGAGGCTGCTGAGGGCAGAACGCACAGAAACCGTCACAATACGCATTTTCAGGACAGAGCCGTGACCAAACCAGCCCAGGGAGGGAGCTGGTCTGCAGGCCTGCAGGGTTCCGCTGAGTCAGTGAACACTGTAGCACTTGGTAGTACAAAACATTAACATTCTGGGGAAAAAGTGAGGAAGGAGAACGCCATGTCCTCCTGCCGGCCGATGTGTGTGGGAGACAGAACTCACAGAAGTGGGCTACTCACCCGCAGTTAGATAGGCGTAATAGCACTGTGACCACCTGGACTCGTTTTTTAGCCTCTCAAAGGAATCAAATGCATCCTTGAAGTTCAGCTCTATCATGCTGCACCAACCTATGAAAGAAATATTTTTAGTAGGAGACCCTGAAGTAGTGATTGATACCCCATCTTAAGCCAGGAATCTGGTCACTGCTGATTATCTTTGAGTGTTGCATGTATACAACCTGAAAACCTAAAGATGATCTTTTGTCACTTAAATATTTGGGGTGAGACAAGGCACTTCTGATTTCATAACCCATTTAGCAGTAGAGCCGTATAGCGGGGGGCACCTGGGGGTGCAGTCGGCTGAGTGTCTGGCTCTTGGTTTCAGCTCAGGTCATGATCTCAGGGTTGTGGGACGGAGCCCCGCCTTGGCCTGTGCTTAAGACTCTCCCTCTCCCTCTGCCCCTCCCCCCCAAATAAATATATATATATTTTAAAGCAATATAGAGGGACGTAAAGATTTCTATGAAAACACTCTAATTCATATCCTACACTCCAGTTTGGGTTGTGAGATTAATCTAAGCCCAGCAGTACTTCTCCAAGAGCGGCCCTAGGCACAGAAAAAGAAGCAATATCGTTAGACTGCATATAGTGACTACCTCAAAAAGTCTTCAAGCACTCACGTGGCTCCTTAATGATTACTATTAATTCTCAAACCCTTGTAAGAAGTGGAGATAAGCCAGTCAGAAATTAAGTACTTGCCCACCTTCCCTCTGCAGGTTGGCAGCGGAGCTGAGAAAGAACCCTATCTTTCCTGGATCAAAACACCATGAGACAGGCATTCTGGCAGCCGCGAAAATGCAAGGAATTCTATCTTCACTTTCAGAAATGTACCTCCCCTTGCCTGAGCCCCTCCACGTGCCAAGCCCTGAGCCAGGCACCTGGTATAACTCTAATTCTACTAGGGGCTTCCTGAGGTGGCAGACGGTATCCTCATTTTACCAAGGAGAAATGCTAAGGCACGCAGAGGTAGGTGACTTGCCCAAGGCCACAGAGCTAGGAAGAGGAAAGGGCCAAGGAGTGAAGGCCATTGCTCTCTCCTGTCCATAATATCCCCCCCATCATAAATTCTGGTATCTTGTGTCATCTTGGATCTGCCTTTGAAGTACAAGGATGAGAGGGATCCACACTTCTAGAAAATCCAGTGTCAAATTCTATGGGATAGGATATGAAGTCGACATGGTTTCCAGTAAAAATTGGGGCTAATCATGTCCATCCTAGAAGATGGGAGTTAAATGCAAAGTAGGGGAGAAGGTGGCACTGAATATGAATAAGAAGCCTGAGTTAGGATTGTGCTACTTTTTCTTGGGTTAACCTTCCTAAGCCTTGGAGGTTAGGCTTCGATGATCTCCAAGCCTCCTTCAGGTCTAACCCTCCATTCTGCCAGACCTTGAAACGGTGCACCAAGAAAGGCCATCATAATCACTTTGCAATACATTGCAAATCAATCATTATCATACAACTTAATCAAATCATTATGTCATACAACTTAAACTAATGCATTATATGTCAATTATATCTCAATAAAAGTGGAAGAAAAAAAAGGCAGCAGTTATCTTAAGAACAAAAAAAGGCCACCAGATCTAGGTGTTAATTCAAGTTCTTCGAAATACATTCCATCCTACGTTATGGCTACTACCCAGAGCTCCAGCGGGATGGATGACATAAAAATATTTTTTCCATTGGATTACACTTCAGCTCTTTTCCCTAAACCATAAGAGGTGCTTAAAACATTATTTTACTGGGAAGTTCCCAATCTTTTAGTTTGTACTTTTCTTTAAAAAGATTTAAAATCATCCAAGAAGACAATTATGTCCACAGCATATAAGCAAGTGGCAAGCATCATAGGGTCTCAACCTGACAGATGGCAAATGCCCCCCTGAGCACTCCCCATTTCTTCTTCCCCACCCCACCCCTGGGTATTCCGATTTTCCCGTTGATTCCATCACTACCTCATCACTTCTCTGCTCCCTGGCTCCTTCATTCCCTTTCTAGGTACCGTATGATGTGACCCTGTCTGATGTGACCCTGTCGTACTGGGCTGAAACCCTAACAACATGAACCCCTTATTACATTGTGTCATGGTTGTTTCAAACCCAACTGTTGTGTTGATTTTCCTCAGCATCATAGAACAACTGCTACTTAAAAGGTTGAGGGAATTGCTAATATAACAGGACAGAATCTTAGTGCAGTCAGCAAAGATACTCATAGTAACAATTTGGGACAGGGAGGAGAAAGCTGTAAGCAAATAAATATTTCCATGTCTGCTTATAAATTTGTCTGCAGGAGGGGAAAAACAGAAGGAAGGGGCTCACACATGTGGAGGGCCTCTGTGTGCCAGCCACCACCTGATGCTCATTCCGACTTCATTTAAACCTCATGACCACTGAGGGCGAGCACCTCAACACTCATGGTAACCACGAGGCTTACACAGCTCTTCCTAGGTCTCTGAGCTAGTCGGGGGAAGGGCTGGGATTGGGGTTCACACGCCCAACTCTCACCCAGGCCATATTTTTCTTCCCAGGTAGACACTGGTGCAAGGGAGGGAAACATAGTTTAGATTCTAATGTGCAGTCAGATAAAGTAGTTACCAAAGTTTTAGTCCATTCCTTTTAAAGAATACATTCTAAAGCAGTAAGGACAGTCACTGAGATAAGTATCACGGCTTGTGCTATGGTAACAAAGTCTTATTCTCACAAAAGGTAGCAAGCATTTTACAAAGATCCAAACTGAATAGCATTAAAAAGGCAGACGTGCACAAAAATGCATTAAGACCTGCGACAAGAAGCTGGTCATTCAGCCGGACATAAGCTGAATGCATTAATGCCATTTCACAACAAGAAGCTGGACAGACATTTCATATTTACCAATTTCATACAGACAGACATGTTGGATTTCTCGCTGATCTATTGCAAGCTCCAAAGCGGTATGGAAAGAAGTCAAGGCACTGTTGATTTGACACTGAAGAGAAAATGAAAACAGAGTTACTGGCTAAAATCTGTCATTAATATTATAATTATCTTCATTCCAAAGCATCTTCTTCCTTAACAGTTATTTTAAACAGATTAAAACAGCATAGAGGAGAATGACCTCAAAATTTCTGGAACATTCCAATTTGCCTCAGTTGTGAGACGAACCTTGGCACAGAGCACTTCTTTTGCTCTGGTGGGAAATTCACCCTCCTGTGTATACAACAGGCATACCTTGGAGATAACCATAGGTTCGGTTCCATACCGCAACAAGTGGATATTGCAATAAAGTGAGTCAGAAAAATATTCTGGTTTCCCAGTGCATACAAAAGTTATGTTTATACTATATCCTGTAGTCCCTTAAGTGTGCAAGAGCATTGTGTCTAAAAAAATAATGTACATACCTTAATTAAAAAAATACTTTATTGCTAAAAAAAATGCTAACCATCTCTGAGCTTTCAGCAAGTTGTAATCACAGATCACCATTCACAAACAGAACAATAACAAAAAAGTTCCAAATACTGTGAGAATGACCAAACTGTGACACAGAGACATGAAGTGAGCAAATGCTGTTGGAAAAATAGGTTGCCACAAACCTTCAATTTGTAAAAACAAAACAAAACAAAACCCCACCCAGTATCTGCAAAGTGCAATAAAGTCAAGTATGAGACAGGGTGTGTCTGGACCCACCCCAGGCCGGAAAGAGCCCCGTCAGTGCTGAGTGAGTGTGCGAGCCCTCCTTTAGGCCTGCCCTCAGCACACTCTCCCTGCTGTGACCCACGGACCCTGTCATACAGCCCCTAGTACGAATCCGTATCCAGAATGCTTTGTCTGATTGCTGCTGGTCCTCACATCTCCTCCACTAACACTCACTTCTGACTTTTGGGTTCATCTGCACTGTCCAGAGCCCAACGGACTCTCCAATGACTGTTCTTACTCCTGAGTAAATACATTTACTGTTGCTTTCCTCTAAAGACCCCTTTCAAAGTCTGCCAACCTCATGCCAGAACACCTGATAGGAGTACCTGAAAAGCATCAAATTCAATCCTAAATACAGCAATGATAGGTGTTAATAAATGTAAATTCTAAATGCCCTAAAAATTTGTTACAGCCTGCTCTCAGTGATACATGCCCCGGGCCATACCCTGGCTCCACACTCAGCCCTCCCTGGTCTTCCCTAAGTGCCCCCTTCTGCTGCTCCTTGGCCACCCCTTTCCAGTGCCCCTTCTGCCTCTCCTCCCCACAGCCAGCCAGCCAGCCAGGGGCAGAAAGGGTTGTAGAAGAAAGGTTACCCCACTCCTTGGCATCTTCAGTGATGCACGGTCGCTGCGTGAGGCCTCTTGGACACCACAGACCACACAGATGAGTCAGGGAGGTCCTTAGGATACCCTGCGACTCAGGAACACCATAAGCCAAATGACTCATTAACCAAGGCCTTGGCTGGATCAATAACTGTTCATGCCCAAAGTAAGGTTTCATTCTGCCAGGATGGTTCAGACGGTAGCGTTCAATCCCTTGTCCCCATCCACAAAGGCTAAGAGAGGACACGCATCCCCACACCAGTGATTCCTGGTCTCAAGGAGGTTAACATCTAGTTGGAGGGACCCTCTTGGGAATGTGAGACAGGCCCCAACCCCGTCAGACGTTCACACTGGGCTATGAGCACAAAGCCACCAAGGTCCCAAAGAGGTGTAAAAAAAGTGTTGTTTTTTGAATTTAAAAATCAATCTTGTACGCAGTGGGTGTGTGTGTGTGCACCGGTGTGTTGCAGAGTAAGCTAGCAGGACACGCATTACGCCCACCTCTAACTTTTCTCCTTCTGGATCACGTAAGCGCTTCTTACGTGCACTCGTTCAGCATATCTGCACGAAACCACCATGCTACGGATTCTGCTTTGCACGCGTCTCCTCAGTTTGCTAAGTTCCTGCCACTCAACTACCACACACAGAGTATTTCTGGATGAGCCATCGCCACCAGGCTGTGTCCAACTGCAGGTACCCTGCATGACAATGCAATGCCACACTGCCCTTCGGAAGACCAAAAACTACTTGTGAACGCTAATTAATGGGCAATTACTAAGTCCTGGGACGGTACTGGCTTGAGCTACAAAGACAAATCACAACAAGGCTTTAAAAGCAAGTTTAGAAACAAAAACAAACCAAGCAATATTTGAATCAACACTGTTTCTCTTAGCCCTTTCAAAAAAAAAAAAATCTGAGATTGGCATGTATTAGTTCCATTTTCAGATGGAGAAACCAAAGTTCAAAGAGGTGAAGTGGCTTGGTCAAGGGCAACAGGCTAGCAATGGGGTAGTATTTACTCTGCTCTGACTGCCTCCAGAGTATGTGTCCTTGCAGCAGAGCATAGACAGGTATGATTAAATTAAGGGCTTTGAGATGGGGAGATTATCCTGGATTATCGGGGTGGACCCTGAATGCAATCACAAGTGTCCTGATGAGAGGCAGGCAGAGAGAGCTGATGCACGCAGCGGGGAGGCAACGTGGTCACAGAGGCACAGACTGCGGACACAGCCACAAGCCCGGGAGCCACCAGAGCTCACAAGAGGCAAGAAATGGACTGTCCTCCGAGCCTCTAGAGGGAGGGCCACCCCCAATCACCTTGACTTCAGCCAGTGAAACGGATTCTGGACTTTTGACTTCCAGAGTGGTATGAGAATAAGGTCTGCTGTTTTAAGCCACCAAGTCTGTGATAATTTGTTCCATGGCCTTAGAAGATGAGCACAGGGTGTTACTTTCAAAATTGAACTGTGAAGAAAGTACGACTGTTCCTTATGTTTGTTATAAGCACTGTGACGGAACTAGAAGGTATGGAGACCATTACAGAGCTTAACGATATTATCCCAAGAGTAATAAGCATAACTACAAAATTAATTCTAGTTCTAGCTTGATTACTCATTAAAGAATTACAATGAACAGCCATCAAACCGGTGAAAACTGATTTCCCCTTCTTTTTCACCAAATAGTTTACTTTTTTTTTTAAAGATTTTATTTATTTGACAGAGAGAGACACAAGCAGGGGGAGGGGAGAGGGAGAAGCAGGCTTCCTGTGGAGCAGGGAGCCCGACGTGAGGCTCGATCCCAGGACCCTGGGACCATGACCTGAGCCGAAGGCAGACGCTTAACGATTGAGCCACCCAGGCACCCAAATAATTTACTTTTTAACTTTATTACTTTTTTTTTTTTAGAGAGAGAGAGGAAAGAGAGAGAAAGCATGCACGCAGAGGGCAAGCAGGAGCAGGGGGCAGGGGGGTGGTTTGCAGAGGGAGAGGGAGAATCTCCAGCAGACTTCCCAGGGAGCATGGAGCCCAATGCAGGGCTGGATCTCACGACCCTGAGATCATGACCTAAACCAAAATCAAGAGTTGGACACTCAACCACTAAGTCACCCAGGTGCTCCTTCACCAAAATAATTTAAAATAAAAATGACCTAATAGGAGTTTTTATGATTATAAATTATAATATCCATAACATAATAGAGAAAGAAGAATTATCTTCAATTTAATACATTATTCACAGTGTAATTTTTTTGAGGAAATACACATATGCTGGGCTGAAGAGAATACAGAAAACAGGCTAGAATGAAATAGCCATGAAGCCAAGAATTGGGAGGTCAAGTACCATCTAGGCTTGTGTCCCATGGATTATGCACGGACACTCGAGATCACAAAAACTACCTGAAGTTTCAGTTTCCTCACTGGTAAAATGAGGAAATAACGTCCACAAGCATTATCTGCTTCCAGAGGAAGCAATGGAGAACAAAAGCACAAGTCTTTGCCAAATTAAATGGAGTGTATCTGTTGCCTAATTAAATTCAGCACCATGTATAGCTACTGTTTTGTTGCCACAGAGATACAATGTGTTTTTCTAGTTTTTCAGGACACCTTTCTTGATAGCTGTATTCCTAGGCATTTTATACCTGTGGCAACTGTCCATGGGATTTGTTCCTCCATTTTATTCTCTGAGCGAATGTTGCTGGTGTATCGGAAAACTCTGGATTTCTGCAAGTTGATTTTGCATATGTCACATTATACTCGTGAACCCTCATGATTTTTTTTAAGCTTTTTCTCTAGAAGTTTCTGGGGAGATATTCAAATCATTTGCAAATAATGATAGTGTTGTCTCTTCCTCTACAAGAGACTTCTCTAATTGGTGAGAACCACCAGTTAAGATTCTATTAGCAAGCACCACTCGCATCTGCATTGCTTCATTCCCGTCTTCAATGAGGATGTTCTGATGTTGCACCATTAAATATAGTTTGTGGGGTGTTTTTAGTAGATGCCATCGTTACCAAACAAAGAAGTTCCCTTTCTATTTCTAATTTGCTAATAGTTTTTTTCGTTTTCAAAGTGGATTTCATTAAATGCCATTTGAGCCATCTAGTGATAGGACTATGTGGTTTTATTAATTACTTCCTTAATGCAGGTTACAACAGAAAGACATTTTCTGAGGCTGAACCATGCTCGCTTTTTTGAAATAAGCCCCACTAAGGTCATAATGTGGCATTTAAAAAATACATTGTTGGATCTGACTTGCTAATATTTATTTAGAGTTTCTAACTTCAGAATGAAGTCAGCCTGTAGTTTTTTGTTCAGTGCTCTCCTCTAGGAGTTTTGGTATCAGGATAATGCCAGAACTTGCAGACTTGTAGGAAATATTTTCATATTTTCTGTGCTCTGGAACTATGTAAATAACTAGTTACTATAGAGCCATACCTTTCAACCGAATAATTCATTTAAAATGTTTAAAATACCGGGGTGCCTGGGTGGCTCAGTTGGTTAAGCATCTGCCCACTCTTAGTTTCAGCTCAGGTCATGATCTCAAGGAGATGAGATTGAGCCCCACATCAGGCTCCACACTCAGCATAGAGTCTGCTTGTCCCTCCCCACCCCCCAGCCCCAGGCTCTCTCTCAAACAAATAAATCTTTAAAATGTTTAAAATACAATTTAAATTTTTTCTTTTAATGGACATACA